TTATACATATTAGTTCAATGAATAGTATTTAGAAGTAGAAAAATGTATGGACAACAGAACTTATACAATCAAAGTAGTGTAAAAACTTCAAGCTAACACCAATCTATTTTCAAAATCTCAAAATAGTTTTCACTAAGAGTGAATTAGGACATTTGGTTCAGAAAAGCATTTGTTCTTAATCATTATGATTGAGTTGATATTTTAAACATGAATGAATTTTGTCCTTTCAAGGAAACTTAAGGTGAATATTAACAGCTATTTCTTAGGTTAAATTTTAGGGGGTGGGGGGAAATGGAAGCAGTCTCACCTGGGTGAAATAATCTATTTTGCTACAGGTGAATATAAGGCAACCCCTACTAAATAACTAGGTAATAGCTATTACTAAGTTTCAGCCTTGCTCTGAAGGCAGTTTACTTTGTATTAAGAAAAACTGTTAGGGCCGGCCCGGTGGCGCACTGGATAGTGCGCCGCTTGGGAAGCGCGGTGGTGCTCCCGCCGAGGGTTCAGATCCCACATACAGACCGGTTCCCGCTCACTGGCTGAGCGAGGTGCGGGCGCGACACCGAGGGTTGCGATCCCGATGCCGGTCCTGGTCCGGTACGGGGGCCACACTAAGGGTTGCGATCCGTTGCCGGACACGGAAAAAGACAAAAAGGAAAAAAAAAAGGAAAAACTGTTACAGGATTTTATCTGTGACATTCGGTTAAACTGAGCTACTAGATAGATAAATGTCAAACTGATCATATTTCAAAGTCTGCAATGAAATTAGATACAGTTCTTTGCTGCTTTTCAGTATCATTTTTAGAAATTATAATAACTAGCTTTTCACTAAGTACAAATCATTCCACTTACAAAATCTTTTTTTTTTTTTTTGTCTTTTGTCTTTTTCCGTGTCCGGCAATGGATCGCAACCCTCAGTGTTGCCCCCGCACCGGACCGGGGACCGGCAACGGGAACGCAACCCTCGGTGTTGCCCCCGTGCCTCGCTCAGCCAGTGAGCGGGAACCGGTCTGTATGTGGGATCCGAACCCTCGGGCGGGAGCGCCACCGCGCTTCCCAAGCGGCGCACTATCCAGTGTGCCACCGGGCCGGCCCAAAATCTTAAAAATTTCTAAATAATTATGTTAAAACTAATGTTTAACAAAAGTCTAAGGCCAAACAGAAACTAAATTAAACCTGAATTGTAAGCTTATTTACTTCTTTAATCAAAAAAGGTATAATCACTAGGACAATAAATTTTTGTTTCCATCTCAGTAATAGCAGTAGTGGTAATTATTGGAATCACCACCACCACTACCACTGTCATCATCATCATCATCACCATCATCACCACCACCACCACATCTATATAACATCAGTTTCTAAGACAGTTTTACATGCATCTATCTCATATCTCTTATAGCAGCTAGTTTTATAGACCCTGGAGTTGGGGCCTAAAATGAACAATGGCTACCCAAATTAGGCTACAGCAAGAATGATTTGAAAATTCCCCTGAGAAAATTATCAGATGTGAAACATGATGAATAAAAGTGACAAAAGCATTTCATTATTTCCATCAAAACATCAGGCTCTGACACTTACTACCTGTGTCCTTGGGCAAGTCACTTAACCTCCCAGGGCCTCAGCTTCTTTAAAATAAGATGAGGAAGAGAACAGCATCTACCTCATGACTATTAACAAGACTAAAGATAGAGAGTCTATGACCTATCCATCAAGAAGACATAACAATCATAAATATATATGCACCCAACATCAGAGAAGCCAGATATATAAAGCAAACACTATTAGACCTAAAGAAAGATATAGACACTAATACCATAATAGTAGGGGACCTGAACACCCCACTCTCAACATTGGACAGATCATCTCAGAGAAACCCAAGACCTAAACAACACTTCAGACCAACTGGACTGATATCTATAGGACATTTCATCCAACAACCTCAGAATATTCAATCTTCTCAACAGCACATGGAACATTCTCCAGGATAAACCACATGTTAGGTCACAAATCAAGTCTCCACAAATTCAAAAAAATTGGAATTATTCCATGTATTTTTTCAGACCAAAATAGATTAAAACTAGAAATCAATAACAAATGAAACTCTGGAAACTACACAAATACATGGATATGAAACAACATTCTACTTAATGACATATAGGTCCAAGAAGAAATTAAACAGGAAATCAAAAAATTTATTGAAACTAATGAAAAGAATGACACATCATACCAAAACCTGTGGGATACTGCAAAAGCAGTACTAAGGGGGAAATTTATCACAATAAATGCTTACTTCAGAAGAATGGAAAGATGGCAAGTAAACAACCTAACACTTCACTTTAAAAAACTAGAAAAACAAGAACAATCCAAACCCAAAGTTAATAAATGGAAAGAAATAATTAAGATCAAAGCACAATTAAATGAAATAGAAACCCCCCAAATACAAAAGATCAATGAAACAAAAAGTTGGTTTTTTGAGAAGAGAGTTTAGAATGGTCCTTGACATATAAATGTTAATAGTTGTAATTACTGTATTTTAGTATAAACAAACACAAATAAATGGAATTAATGGTTGTGTTAACTATCATCTTTATTTACCACAATCATGTTCTTGTTCTTGTTTAAGCTATGGCACTAAAATATATTAAATGCAGATGACTGGTCCACTTGAAAACTTTTTTTTTTAGCTACTGGGTTTCAAAACACTTCTTCATTACTGAATTTCAAAACATCAATCAACTCCTCCCAATATAAGCAGAAAACAGACAACCACAGCATGCTAAATGGTTTATTTTAGAACTGATCATTCTCTTTTTCTTCACAACCAAATAATGCAATGTCTGTAGCTATTAATGATGCTTATTAGGTGCTTTTTAGTTTGCAAAACACTTTCAACACAGTGAGAACAACTCCTCCTCTCTCTGGCTTTCTCTTACTTTCAGTTCTGCACATGGACAGCCCCACCTTTCACTATACTCATGCCCGAACACAAAGCGGGGAGCATCCACAAACAGCAGGGTCAATACTACTTTTGCCCCTTTTCTTACAAGTAATTGAAGCAGTGAAGAGATACGAAGCCCTACTCTTCTCCACACAAATTCACAGAAAACCTAGAGAAATTATATTGCTTCACCAAAGCACTGAACATGGTTAAATTTTGTTAGTAAAAAGACTACTTGATTACTGTCATTTAAACTTTAAAGTTTTATCAGGGTTCTACAGAAAATTCCAAAGTGTTCTAAGAAAGAGTCACTCCCAAGATCTCTCAGTCTTTGCAACAAAAATTACCACAGAACTGTTTTTCTACTACAGAATTCTCTCAGATGAAATCTTTATTTCACAAATCAGAAATATGAAAATTTGACAGAGTAATGCAGGAAGGAAAGTCAACAGTAAGATAGTTTCCTTCACCTGCAAGCCTTGGAAGAACTGGGCTTCAAAGGCATTTAATAAATAGTAAATAACCATAATAGTAAAAAGAATAAGAAAAAGACGTTATTTTGAGGTTATTTTTCAAAATTCAGTTGCCTAAATAATGTTATTAAACACGAGCAAAGGAAACAGTAGAGTTGGCTCTCCTTATCCGTGGGTTCCACATCCATGGATTCAACCAACTGCAGATTGAAAATATTTGAAAAAAAAAATTGTGTCTGTACTGAACGTGCACAGACTTTTTTCTTATCATTTTTCCCTAAACAAAACAGTATAACAGCTATTTACATAGCATTTACATTGTATTAGGTATTATAAGTATGCTAAGATGATTTAAAGTATAGGAGAATGTGGCAGGTTATATACAAATACTATGTCATTTTTACATCAGGAACTTGAGCATCCACAGATTCTGGTATCTGCGAGTGTGTGTGTGTGTGTGGATTCTGGTATCTGCGTGTGTGTGTGTGTGTGTGTGTGTGTGTGTGTGTGTTGGAGGGGGGGAGGTGATGTCCTGGAACTAATTTCCTGCAGATACCAAGGGATGACTGTATATCAAATACAACAGCCCAGGATTTGGAAGTCCATTTGATTTCTATTCATTTCTCATAAGAAACAATTTGCAGTTTTGCAAATTCTGTTTTTATTTGGTCTTAGTTTACCCTCTATGTGCTAATGGTACAACACACCTTCACCAGTCTTTACAGGAAAGTAAAACATAATTCATGAACAGAACAGGACCCACGGCAAGCCCAAGGTTTATACCAGTCCCGTGCAGCAAATGTTTGATATTTAGGACCCTCTGTGGCCAGGGATGAACCTATCCTTGTCCCCTGTCAAGACATGACTTCTGCCCTCACTATCATAAGTGAGGCCAAATTCAATGGCACTGTAGCTGGTGCACCATTTTTATCTAATGGTCCATTCATTAAGTATGATTGAGCACTATCAAGTAGCAGGCATTTCTTGGTACTGAAGAGCTTATATAGTCCAATCAAAAATAATTTCCACCTAATCCTCTGGGACATGAGCCCCTGATATTTGTTTTATGAAACCAGGATTACAACATGAACTCATGGAACGCTGCATTGTCTTTAAAAATATGAACTTGTAGAAGAAAAAAGTCTGTAGAAGAAATTAAGAAGGATGAGAGGACTATAAAAAGGGAAAGAGCAGGAAAAGACTATAATTCATCATTAATGAAAATGCCGGAAGACAAACATCTGCAGCAGAGTTCAAAACACAGCTGTGGTCACTGCAGATGTCAGTTCTAAATGACATCAGAAAGCAACTCCATGATGTCAGTTTCAGCCTTTCTTGGAATTTCTTCAAGCACTCTTTTGACCTCTTGTTATTATATCAGATCTTATCCCATGAGGGCCCAAATCCCCAGTAAGCTTGGAACTGTCCCACATGCCTGGGTATTACCCCCAGATATGCTCATTGAGGCTCAAATACTATGTAATGGTCATATTAGAAGATTCTATGAGAAGCAATCTCCTTTCCATACCAATTAGAAACTTCTTTTAATATTAAAAAACACTCAGTAAAAATGAAGAATTCCCTACCTTGAATACATTAAGCTGTTGATTAATTGTCTCTGTTTCCATACCAACAGGACCTTGGGACTCTTCATGTTCTTCAGCGTTCTGGAGCAGAATAGAAAAGTCATCCAATTTGCTGTAGAATTCCTCAAGACGCTCAACCATCCCTTCAACCTGCTCTTCTCTGGTTTGTGCTCGGTCCAGTAACTTGTTGCATTGTTTGCTCAAAGCCTCCAAGTCCCTTTTGATCCCAACAAGGTCAGGAGAGGTTTCTTCTGTGGCCAGCATCATCTTGCAGGTTTTATTGGCATTATCATTGCTTGCTATGAGGGCTTCTAGTTTCTTCAGAAAGGTTTTTATACCCTCCTTTTGCTTTTGCAATGTTTCTACATCTCTTCCCACTGGAGCCATGCTATCCAGCTCATCATCAAACTCTGCAAACTGAGAAAACATTTCTCGGATGGTATTCTGGAAATGCCCAATGCCCTGAAGCTTGGTTTCTAAGAACGAACACTTTTCATCAACCTGCTGACTCAGTGCACTATGCTCTTGAGCTAAGGTTTCTGCTTGTAATAAAATATCAGAGGTTCCCTTTGAGTCTGAGGCTTCTACGATAAGGTCCTGTGCAAGTCTTCTGGCCAAATCTACCTGATGCTTCAAAGTCTGAAGTGATTTCTGCTGCGTCTGCAACATGGTCAGGTGCTTGTTACTGTAAGCCTGGGTTCCCAGGGAATCATGGACATCCAGCTGTTCCTTTGTACCCTGAAGCTGCCTTTTAGCTTCTTTAGAAACTTCTTGAAACTCTTTAAACTTCTGGGCCATGTTCTCCAGAGATAATTTCTTACTGTGAAGTTGTTCAGTGACCAAGTCTACCTTCTGGATCAGTGATTTATTTTCATCTGTAACAATCTCTTTATCTATCTCACAGACATTGAGCAAGCTATTGGCTGTGTTGTTCAGTAATTCTACCATACCAAAGCGTTGGTCCATTTCCTTCTGCAGAGACTTTAATCTGGCAATAGAATCCTCTGTTTCAGTAGGATCCAAGCAAAATTTTATTTCTTCCAGGTTGTTCTGACATTTGTCTACCCATGGCCAGAGGGTCTCTACATGCTCTTTATATTTGAGGGCTTTTTCCAATGCATCTTTTAACTTGTCTTCTCTTTCTTTCACCAGCTTATTAAATCCATCCCATTTGGTTTTAATCGTGTTAAGCTGTAACTGCAAGGCTGCCTTTTCAGACCCCTGTGTTTTTAATAACAAATTTTCACCTTCTGCAATGGTTTTTTCATATATATTAGACTGGGCAGTCAAAATTTTACTAAAGTCTTTCTGATCTTTAATTAATGACTCCAAGACATCAAGTTTGGCTGATATTGGATGAGACTTGATTTGCTCTTCTTTCTTTGTATCCAGCCAAGCCTGAAAATCTCTAGACATCTGCTGAAATTGATGAGAACTTGCACAGGCTGACTGAAGGTGCTGGACATGATTCTCTAAAAATGAAATTACAGATATGTTTATTTTACATCAAAATGTTAATTTAATCTATAAAAGACCAAGAGAAAAATCTCCAAATCAATGTACAGAACTGTCTAAAAGCAAGGGCTTTTAGTTAGCACTGACTATAAGAACTACAAGTGAACTTAAGTTATTCACAAAGGCAGAAAAGAAGCAAGAGGTAGGTACAACAAGAGACAATCAATGCAAGGAGGAGGAAACAGATGAAAGGGGGGAAAAGATTATGGGAATAAGTAAAAATGCATAAAAGTGCAGGATGCAGTAACACCTTCCATCACCTGCTGTGCTAACATCTTCTCCACTCCCGTATGCATAAGTGACAACTGCAAAGTTCTAAGTTATGTTGATAAATAATCCATCTCTTATCAAACGTGACTTTTTCACTTCTGTGACATTAAGTATCATGGAGGCAACACAATGTAACATATAGGAACTGCATGGGTTTGTGTCCTGACTTAATCTCTTTAGAGCTGGAAGACTGTGGGCAAATGATTAAATGTCTAAACTTCATTTCCCCAACTGTAAATTGGCAGTATCAATATGCTGTAGCTGTTGTCATGATTACATGACAGTACATGGAAAATTCTTAATTTAATGCCTGTCACATAAAAGTATTCATAACATTAATAATAGTAATAATGATGATAGCTAATATTTATTATCAATATCATGTCAAATAAAGGAGTAAGTCTGAAGAGGGTTGCTGTGATCAATAAACAATCCAATCAATTAAAAAACATAAATTGAGTATTTACTAGGTGTGAGGCCTTGAAACTAGTATTACTTTTAAAAGACAACAAAATGTGCCCTTCTCTGGCAGACCCTTCTGAATTCCAGTAACTCGGTACTGCCTCTGACATACATCAGCACATCTGCCACAGAACTACGGCTGCAGTGGGTGAGAGGAAAATAGTGCCAGATGCTTCTCTTTCACACATTTCTTTAGAAAACTTTTCTGTGACAGAATAAGACAAAGTAACAGCAGATAAGTAAATGATACAAAACCTTTTTAATAACATTCATCTGTTTTTCTAGTGAAATAAGACTGTCACATAGCAAAAATGTTTACATCTTTTAATAACCAATTTGGGATACCTGAAATATTAATGGGCCTTCACTAACTGGATTTTGCCAGCAGACCATCTCTCTATCACCTATGCAGAAGTACCCTAATGCTGTGTGTGCATATGAACACAGCACTGCTCTCTGTGCTCCTGTGTTCAGCCTCCTCCTCACCTGTGCTCTCAAAGGGACAGAGTCTCTTTAGGATCCTGGATTACTGGCAACGGCTTAGAAATAGGAAGTATATAATATCTATTTCCGACCAGGAAATATATGTATGAAAATATATGTATGAAAAGACAAACCTGCTTTTTGTTCAATATCCTTAAATGATTTTAAGATGCCTTCTAGTTGCCTACTAAGTTCTGCTTTCAAGTACTCTTCTTTAACCAATGCTGACAAATCCTCACAGAGTGCCTGGGCCACTTTTATCTGCTTCATTTCCTGCTCTATTTCCTGCTTCATTTTTTGGGCCATTTCCAACTGCTGGTTCATAGCATCAGGGTGTGTGCTCACAGCCAGACTGTTGCTGAGTTTACTATCCAAGTCACTCAGTTTATCGGAAAGGCTTCTCAGCAGGTCCTGATATTGTTTGCTTTTAACAATGGCTTGGTCAATCCAATCACATCTGTCACTCAATTGTCCCGTTAGGCTTTCCCATTTTTGGGTCACAGCTGCCAGCTGCTCTTTCACGATCCCATGTAAAGAAGGGTTTTCTCCAGGTCTGCTCAGAATGCCCTGACCAGCTGCTGTTAGCAGTTCATACTGAGGCTTCCGAGTATCAAATTCTTGTAGCAGAATCTAAGGTAACAAGGGTAAACACACAAACAAATGATTGTATAACTGACTATAGAAAACACAGCTTTAGGTGTCCAAACAGACAAAAATCGCACTTATTTACATAGTTTTTGTTTTCATTTTTTAGTTACTGTTTTCCTAGTTTTTATTTTGAGGGCAGGCATAATTATCTTCAACTAATCCACAGAGCAATGGTGCCTCACAGAGATAACATCTTGTCTAAACTAATCACATCCCCCAAAGGGGAAAATGAACAGAAGAAATACTTTTGGTAGTATGAGCAAAATGAACAAAAATTCATGTACGAATTTTCATATAAAAAAAGCAAACACTGCTATCAGACAAGTTCACATCTCACTAACAATAAATTTCTTTCTTCCTACCTATGTTTTTCTCTGTGTAGGATTTTTAAAATATCTTATAGCATTTTACATGAAAGGAAATGCACAGTGATAATAGTGTTAGGATATACTATTATGTGGAATATACTCATGATGCATTGATTTACAGAGGGTTTTTTTTTAACGTAAGACTTACTGATGTTTACAGTCTTTATTATAAAGGTTTTAGCCAACGAATAATATTGCTCAGAATGTACAGGCTCAACATGACTCATTATAAAATGAATGATCAAAAGCTTCTTTCTTTTAGTGTAATATTTTATCTATCTTGTATTTTACATTTTTATCTGTCTTATATTTTATCTATCTATCCCTGGAAGACTACCAAGACTAGAGGCAATTATTTCTCCCCAGATATTTATTTTTATCTTTTGTTTTCATTCTCTTCAGATTATGAACAGAGGGGAACTAGAACACGTGACTCTAAACTACCAAGACTTATTTGTGTTTTCAGCTTGTAGAGTCAGCCTCCTTGTTCTAAAGGCACAACTCATACGTAAAGAAATCTAACTGAAACCACAATGGAGCTTTGCTATTACTTAAATTTTATTAATTTTTTTCCCTTGTGGCTTTATCCACTTTGTAATTAGACTAGTCTAACTAATGCACTAGGTTTCAAGGTTCCCTCTTTGCTTCCTTTACTCTTTGTCCTCTTATTCTATTTCTCTCCCTCTTAGGACTATACTGCATGAGTTTTATGAGTTTCATTATCTACTACCACAATCAAAATGAATAAAACCTCAAAGGAGTAATTTGTAAACAGTAAAAAGTATAACTAGCTTCTCATAAGAATATTAAATATTCACATTAGTACTTCAAAGAAAGTCCTTTTTAACAGGTTCTGCGCAAACCACAATAATGACTAAAATAATCAGGTGATTGGCTTACTTGTAGGCTCAAGGAAACTATTCTAGGTATAACTAGCTTCTCATAAGAATATTAAATATTCACATTAGTACTTCAAAGAAAGTCCTTTTTAACAGGTTCTGCGCAAACCGCAATAATGACTAAAATAATCAGGTGATTGGCTTACTTGTAGGCTCAAGGAAACTATTCTAGGATGCCTCATAGCCTTAATTCTCTGGAGGTTTCTCACTAATCTCAGGATGTCTTATGGGCATCTGAAACATTACAAATATACTCTGAAGCAGTTAAAGCACATACTGCCCAAAGCTAATGCATTTATAATAAAAACATCTGTCTTGTTAAGTCAGGTTGCTGTGCACGAGATAGGTTACTAGGTAATACTCACCTGCACCTGCTGCCTTTGTGTGTTTAGCATATTTGGGTCAATTGACAAAGGCCCAAGAACACTGACCATCAGTTCTTTTTCCACAAGCCACTGTTTCAACTGGGCCTCTATGGTCTGAAATTGGGTTAGATTATTGGAAGACTCTTCCAGTTTCTGTTGTCTATCAACTGTTAATTGATTGAGTTCTTGCCACTTAGAATCTAAAAGACAAGGGATGAAACTGGTGTTTGGTTTTTATGCATTTAACACGACCATATCTATGAAGACTACATGGTATGATTTAAAATGATATATAATGCCTATCATTCTGTTTTTATAACTCTTTACATAGTTAACTAAATGTCTAAACTAAGAGAATTAGTTGCATTTAATGATACCGATTTTATGGACCTGGTGGTTATATGTCAACTGAAGCATAAGAAAAGAAAAATAAATTTGAATCTTACTTTAGAAGATATTGTAAAAAATGGAATATTCCTTAAAGCAAACAAGATCCTGTGGTCCCTCATTACTTCTAGAAGTCCTACAGAGTCTGTTTATTCAACTATAACTAATGTACCAGAACAATGAACATTAACATTTTTCTTGACTACCAAAACTTTAATCATCAATTCTAGGCAAATGGCTCCCAAATTTGTATATCTATCTCCAATCACTCTCTCCTATTCAAATCACACATTAATAACCAGCTTCTGGAAAGTAAAAGTAAGAAATCTCACCAACCCTTTAAACTCGACATTATATATATATATGTTCCTCTCAAAACTGGTACATTTTTCTGACTTTTCAATTTCTCTCATTTCTACCATGTCACTGAGATGCAATAATTCAGAATCTTCTTTTATGACTCTCCTAACTCTCCTGTATCCTCACTCTTAAAACCTTTAACACATCCCTTATGTTCCCAATGCTGTAACTCCATTATGGCTCTCCTCGTGTTTTGCCTAAACCAATGGTTCTCAAACTTGAGCTGCATTAAAATCACCTGGAGGCACTGTTAACCTAGATTGCTGGGCCCCGCTCCCAAAGTTTCTGATTCAGTAGGTCTGGAGTGGGGTCTGAAATTTTGCATTTCTACCAAGTTCCCAGGTGATGCTGATGCTGACTATGCTCGTCTTAGGAGCACACTTTGAGAACTTTAGACCTAGACTAATAGTCTTCTAACTGGTGTCCCTACTATTAATGTTTCTCAGTTTCAATCCATGTAGTTCTAAAATAATATCCCTGAAAAAACAAATCACTTTTAAATATGTCACTCCCCTGATCGAGTCCTGCAATATAACTAACTCCTCACCACCTGGACAATAACATCTGAAGACTTTTGCCTGACATTCAGGTTCTCCCACAATGTGGCTCTTGTCTACTTATCTTAGAGGGTTTGAACTCTGAGATGAATCCTCTAATCTATCCCTGCTGATCTTACCATTATCATCCAAATAGGCTTTTACTCACACAGGCCCCATGCCTGACATACTCTACCTCCTCTCTGTATATCCCAACCCTATCCTTCCTTCATAATTCCACTGGATCATACCCTCTGCTAGGAAGCCTTTCCTGCTCTTCCCATCCTCAAGAGAGCATGCTTCCTGCAGTCAGGGGTTATTGATAAAAGTGATTAGCCCAGCACTTGAAGAACACATTAGTTGCTCAATAAACACTCATTGATGGTTGTGATTAGTTAATTCAAGAGATTTTTTTTCCCACTTAGCATAATACACTAAAGTGCTGATTTTAATAGAACACAATCCCTGAAACCTTATCTAATGACTTCATTCTATATAACATATTCTAGTCAAACAATCTGTCAACAAAATAATGCAATTAAAGTAATCGGGAAGGAGAAATATCAAAATTATCAGGAAACTTCTCTGAAATACACATTCCTCACTCCCAGTCCTATTCTAAAATGTCTTGATAATACTCTGCCCCAAGGAATTCTGATATTCCAGAAGGGAGAGCCACTGAATCAGGGGCAAATTAATTACAATGCAAGGGAAATCTCTGGAGTTGGATTAAATACATACCTTTGAACATTAAGATCCCTTAGGGTAACCTTTTTCAAACTAAAACATACTTACAGATTTCTAAACTTATCACAGCACATCTGACTCTAAAGGAAGGACAATATTTAGATAGACATAATGGAACAATCAAAACCAAAATAATTATTATAATCATAGTAGACACAATGTGCCAAGTACTGTTCCTCTGAGCTGTATAAACATTAACTTATTGAATTCTCCAAACAATCCTATGAAGTATTATCCTTGTCTTACACTCATTTTCCACATCATTATAACAATGAAAATTGATAGGACAACAGGGCTTGTGAAGAAAGTTATGTACCTATGAGGAGCAGTTTATACAGGTAGAGGATGGGGGTGAGAGGAAAACTCTGGATGAAGAATCAAAACCACCAGTCTTCTGTGGCAAGCTACTTTTTAGTACTGGTTGGGGGAGAGAAGAAGAGCATAAAGCATGGGGCTGGAGAAGTCTCAGAAGCAACTCCAGGAAGGAGAAGGGCGTGTACCTTTTCCAAATAAACGAATGAAAGGAATAAATGAAAATATAATAAAGCATTAAAAAAGATAATAAAGGATAAAACATCAAAAAGCTAGTATAAAGTAAATAAACATTAATGAAAACAATGTTACTACATGCACAGAACTTTACTAACTACAGGTTGAGCATCTCTAATCCAAAAACCGGAAATCCCCAATGAGCATTTCCTTTAGAGTGTCATGTGTCAGAGCTGAAAAAGTTCCAGATTTTGGAGCATTTCGGATTTCAGATTTTTAGATTAGGATTGCTCAACCTGTAGTATCTACCTTCTTCATAAAAATAAATTTCAATATGGTGTTTACCAAGAAAAACACAAGATGAGATATGCCAATTCTCAGCACAATGTAATTTGAAATGACACTTTTAAATGCAAAAAATAGATTCTGAAACAAACAAAAATCCAAAGCAAATCCAAAATTAAGTGAAGCTGTTAAATGTTTTCTGACAAAGATTATAATAAAAATGGAAAATGACTGAGCTTCTGTTCATAGACTTTGGTGTAAATAATAATACAACATACCTATTTCTGTCAACATCTGTTTCCATTTGGGGGCCTCAGGCACATCTGGGTTCTCCTCCAACAGCTCTGTCAATTTGTCTTTCAACTCCTGGACTTTGTTTACATTTTGCTTCAGTTCTGCCTCAAATGACTAACAAGAAAAAAAAAAAAAAGTAACTACATTAAAGTATGCCAACATCAAAAGACAAAAACATAATTACGATAGCACATTTTTTTCTCTAGCATGACCAAAAGAGGAAAAGATCCACAGTAAAAATGCTAAAGTGGGTGAGGACCTGGATTCGGCAGTTAGTTATTTTCCTTTCCTCTTCTTAGCTAGTCTTCAACTGTGATAAAGGAATCCCACAGAGGAACACTATAACTATGGAGACAATGGCTCTCTAGTCCCCATTACTGAGAAAGAATGTCATATTCTCAAAAAAACCACTTTAGCATAAAACAAAATGACATCAGTAAGACCGTATGAAAATCAGCCTTTACGAATCCTGCCAGGATTTGAGAATCTACTAATGAGCAAGCACTTTGCTGGACAACACATTATAGAGTTCAAATACAGGTTAGTAATTTGCAGAAATTTTTACGATCATCATATAAAACTATTTTCCCAATCTTGACATCTATAGAAAGAAATAGCATTTGATAAAGAAAGGGAAGGCATTAGCTACTCTATTTTGTAGTAGAACAGATCCCTAATACACTTAGCCCTTAAAAAAATCTTTTTCAATAGCTGACTGGTTAATATCCCAGATGTAAACTGATTTAAAAGGGGTAAAGTTGCTTAAACACAACAGTTTGTTCATTTTTATAATGGTGTGCAAAAAAAAAAAAAAAAAAGATTATCATCAATCTCTACAGAAAAGAACATTAAACAAAACTGTCAAATTATTTCCTGAAGGTTATAGAGGTAGAAAACAGAACAGAGCTCCTGACTACAAGGCCTCGGTTCCAAATGCTAACCCATTCTCTTTCATGTCCTCATACATGCCCCACAGAATATACCTTATTCTGTTCAACTTGAGTCTTCACAGCCTCAGTATCTGTAGGTGTAGGTGTCTGATGCCATTTTGTTGCAGTTTTGTTCATTTTCTGTAACCACTGCATCATTGCACTTGATTCTTCCTGCGCATTTTGCAATTTGGAGAGTTTAGTATTCAGTTCAGCTATTTTGTCCTTGAGTAAGAGGCCAAGATCTTCATAATCATGACTTATGTCAGTCATGTCCTTTTTAATGGATGTTAAACCTAGGAGTAAAAAAAAAAAAAAAAAAAAAAATTATACTAACACATTTTCAGGGCATTTGCAGTATAGGTCTAGAAACAAAAGTTTGTTTTGAATGACATTCCCTTCCATATTGTCACTATTAAGCCTACTATGATAATGTCATAGACTTTTTAGAACTAAAAGGTTAGATCATCTTATCATGCTATCTAATGAAAAATAATCTAGGAACATTCTATAATACAAGTGAAATGAAAAAGACATTTTAAATGGAATAAAAAACTCAAACCACAAAATATTACTTAGTAATTCCTCAGGTATCAAACTCAATAAATTAGCTCAAATAATGCTATCCCAAGTGACAAATCATCTCAAATTAACCAAAAAGAAGGAAACAACCAAGTGCCAAAAGGAACAAGTGAATTTTACTAATTTCAGATGAACAAAACTGCATGGGATGTTATATAAATATGCTATTTATGGAGATTGTGACTATGATATTAAATATCATTTTAATTCAGGTTTGAAAAGTTCAGTATAACTACTCTTCACTTCTAAAAAGATTTTCTCTCAAGGAAAAAGATATCAAGCTAAATTAATCAATAACCGTTTAAGTTACTACTCACCTTTATTTGCCAAAAATTCCTGAGTATTTGTGGGAGTTCCTTCCCCATTTAATATCACTACACCTGCAAAAATATTAACACCAAAATAATCATAGATTTCCATAGTATTTCCATACATTAATAATAGATGGCATTAAATCAAACCCCATAAACAGTAACCATTTAAAAATGTTATTACTATTTGAAAATGTAAAATACTGACTCAATTTCAAAATCAAATGAAGGTTCAAAATTTAAAAATCAAACTACATCCTCTCTTTCTACATAAAATTTATTCTTAAAGTAGTAAGATGATCATCTTAAACATTAAAGTTTCAGTATATTTATATTATATGTTAATCTTTAAATATTAATTCATAAAGTGTGATAAAGTTGCTTTATTGCTAAAGTTATTATAATGATAAAGTTCCTGAAGCTCAAAAGATGCTCAGTATTTAAGTGTGTTGAATGAAGCATAAATGAATGACCAAGTGTCTGCCTTATTTAAGGACTGAAAATTGTTGCAGTTACACAGTGTCATCATGGGCTTAATGGCGGCAGAGTGATTTTGAAAGACATGAAAGTAAAGTTAAAAGTAAAACAAAACAAAACAAAACAAAACTATTACTAAACCCACATTAGGTCATACAGAGAGAGCATCATGGTTAGGAGTACTTGGGCGTTGGCGTACAACCACCTGAATTTAAATTCCAGCCCCACTAATTACTAGCCATGTGACTGGACAAACTAATCAACCAAAGTGGTGATAATAATACCTAACTTGTAAGACCACGGTGGGAACTAAAGACAGCTAACCTACCGCCTAGCAGGTAGGAACCACTCAGGGAGTATTAACTACCATTTCTCTCCTGTTATATAGCCATCCAGCATTGCTACCTTTTTCACAATCAAAATATTAAAAAATCATTTAGACTATCTCATACTTGTATCCATTGGCTACCTATGTGAAACACAAAGACACTTCCCAAATCAACCACAGGAGAACAAGTCTGAACAAACACAAACATTTAAATGTCTGAATCTAAGTTTTATTCCTTTAGAAAAATCACATACAATGCATTTCAGATGGAAGTGCAAATATCCCATAGATGCTCAAGACTAATTCCTACCATGCCCAACAGTTAGCAGTAGTCAAAAACAAACAAACAAAACACTGTTTTTACTGCAAATATAAAAGAGACATGAAGAACTGAAATAAATAAATAGAATTCCTTTCCTTAAAAAACAAAAGAAACAAAAAAAAATGACACTTCAGGAAATCTGATTAGGAGAGAAAGGAAAGATCATCACGCCATATATAATACAGGCATTCCCCGAAATGGGATTAATAGAGTGGAATAAATGGTTGGTTGAGAAAGGCCCAGCTGGAACATCAGTGTCACAATAGAGACAGCTGGGGGGCTGGTCTGACTAGATAGACCACAGTGGATACTCAGAAACTCTCAAGATAAAGATATGAGATCTGCCTATTAGTGGATTTTTTTAAAACCCTATATTGTATGTTTTAAATTAAAAACTATATCCGCAACTTACATTAATTTTAGAATCAGTATTTATACATGACTCTCTCCCTTTTGTTGAGAAGAGTGGCTGAAACATGACTCAGATTGTGATTTAGATATGCTGGCTAACATACTGCATAACTGTGTTCTTTGGGAATAATGTACAGAATAAAGTTGATGGGAACTAAATAAAAGAGGTCCACTCTATGGAAAAGAGCCTGTTTCCTTCCCTCACTTCTTTCCCAGGAGACCTGACTCATTCATCAAATATTACAATATTTCAAATCAAATTTTTAAATCTCCACTTAATTAAAGCAAAAAGCAAACAAATTAGAATCTGGTCTGTACCCTTCTCCAATATAACACTCCTTATTCTTACATATTAATTTGACTACATTTTCATTGTAGTCTTTAAGAAAATGAAACATAAGAGAAATTTGAAATATGATTAGTACAGACACTTTTCCATGGCAGTGCATTTATAAGACATCATCTTTCTTGTCACTTTCACTTTGTATTTCTGGGGTTACCTTATGCATTAACTTAAAAAATAACATACACAAATAAAATTAACATGAGTGGACACAATTCTTACAGTTTTTGCCTAAATGTAAATAAAGCACATACCTGATTTAACTGCTGCTATTGCCTTCGCAGGGGTAGTCACAGCACTTATTAGGTTACATAGTGAGATCCCACTGTTGTTTACTTTCTGAATCTCTGGTGTTTTTAAACTCCACTTTTCTTGTAATTTCTTGAGATATAAAAACACAACATTTTTCAGTCTCCTTAATATTTTCAAAGTTGCACATTATAATTTAAGTTCTTAAACATATCCTAAAGCATTAATGATTGTGGGCCCTGATTTGTGGGGAAGTGGATGGAAGAAACAGGCACCATACATTTTTCAGTCTCCTTAATATTTTCAAAGTTGCACATTATAATTTAAGTTCTTAAACATATCTTAAAGCATTAATGATTGTGGGCCCTGATTTGTGGGGAAGTGGATGGAAGAAACAGGCACCATCCCTATTTGTTCCCACAGCCCAGAAGACTGTTAACACTGTTGGGAGTGAGAAGTGGGGCATGACCCATTCTGCATTCTGCCCCTAACCTTAGTGGAAGTCAGGCTATTCCCACCTACGACGGATTCCAAAGTAACTGTCAACTGTAAGTCTGTAAAACTGTACTAGGTAACAGCCAAATTACATGACAAAATGTACTAGGAACATTGTTATAAAAATAAATAAATGGAAATTCAGAATTCCATTTAACAGTGAGTTTTAACCATCAAAATTTCAGTGAATTTTTTGAAACACAAACCTCCACAAATCTGGAGTGGAAAGATTGCCATAACTGGTCATAGGTGTTATGACTTGAGTCAGATGACAAAAGACTCGTGCACTATTTGTGCAGGAAATTCAAATACCTTCTATCTTCAAATACTGGTTTTATAGTGATATATACAAGCTAGAGTAAAATGCTGAGTGAAAAGTAGGATCTTTTACTTAATATTGTAAGAAACAGTATCAAAAATAACTCACTCCAAGTTGAGATTTGGTAGGAAAGGGAACAGATACTAGAACAGTCAGCAACTCATTAACACATCATTTTTGTAAAAGCTAATTAATGGAAAGTTTATGTTTTCCTTGAAAAGAATCAGTTATAACCTCATGCTATAGAATCATCAAAATATATAGTACATATATGAGGATTTAACTTATATGACATTAGAGCAAAGGAAACCACTATTAAGTCTTTTAACCTTTTACTACCGACACAAGCAAATGAAACATTAGTAGTAGATACAATGATTCACCTTAGTTTCTTCCAAAGATTTTCCTAAATCCTCTGCACCAAAAGAAGGCTGCACGATGGGAACTCCTTCTGTTGTTTCTTTTATCCATGACTTCAATGATTTAACAAGGACTTGGAAAGCATCCAGTTGTTCTTGACAAGAAGATATAGCTTCTTTTCTAAATAACGAAAATCACACAAGAATTTGAGCCACAGAAAGGAGATGCTCCAAAAGACTAATTGTTAATAAATAACTATTCCTATATTGAACTTAATATTAAGGAAACATCTTCCAAGTGCACTCTAACCTTTTTTGATACAGGAGGAAAGGTTTCATAGGTGGCAAGTGAACTCAGCTAAATAGGTATTTCTCTATTCCTCAGGTAAGATTCATTGATAAAGATAGGAGCAGTCAAGAAATCTGTAACCCATGTGTAACGGCACTCGGTAATGCTACATAAACTCTAAGACTACATAAACAGTTTGAACATTATTTAGATTCAATGAGCTTTGATCCATCCACTTTAAATGATGCTTAATGCCAGCAGATGCAGAACCAGAAGGGAAACGGTCACAAACCACTGGCATGAGGAAAACATAATGCCACCTAGTGGTTTCTACACTATACTACAGTCACGTTAATAGATGAACAGTGCTTCAGGAGTACAGATTTAAGTCTCCCCAAATGAGATGAAACCTAATGAGTGAAGAGTTTTAATGGTGTTGCCCCCACAGAGACTCAGGAAGCTCCATGTGAACTATACAGATCTTTGAATGCTCAGCAACACGGAGGGAGCACACGTGCCTAGCACATGAACAACTGTGAGGACAGTTACATTTGGCAGGCGGATGACACGTGCACACATGTGAGTGTGTGAGATATTGGCAGATGAGAACACACTGCAGCTGGACTTATTACTGATGACTACATAGTTTTAAAGTTGGACCCATTTGAAAGAGGAAATAACCTAGAGATTACCTAAGTAAACTAAGAACATTTCTTCTGTGCAATGTGAGTTAAACATCATGTCACATGATGAAAAATATAGCTCTGTGAGTAGTAGTGACAGCACTCAAAGTTTTAGGTAGAAAATTCTGAAGAAATAAAGAACAGTACTTGAAAGAGAAATGACTATTTTCTGTCTTTTGTGGCTCTCGTATACAAAGTTCAGCAAAATCAAATGTATATTCTAAACTAACATGAGATAAGAAATCAGAAGTCCAATTACAAAGCTTATCCCTGCACAGCTTTTTAGCTCAACTTAGGTTCATTCTCTTGTTTCTTATCTTGTTTTTTCATAGACTCATGATTCATCTACTATTCTTTAAAAAGTAAACTGTTATACAAAAAAGGTCATTAAGAACTATATTGAAATTGCATATAGATTCTGAGTTAAGCCCAGAAAGCAAAGAACCATAAGTCTTTCAAGGTTATTTCTGCCTTTGCAAATAAAAATGTGATATTTGCCAAAGGCTTCAGAGACTATTGTAAGTTCAGATCATTTTCAGTAATGTACTACCAACACCATTTTTCTTACACAATGCTTTCCACTTTTTTATGTAAGAAGTATTCAATTTGCCTCCTAAATACTTTAATAAATAAAATGCTTAATTTTAATAGCAAAAAGTTACCAAAATGTAAAAACATTTATAAAGTAGCCCTATGCTTATCTCAAGTTTACGAAATTGTTTCATTTATCTACATAAGTAAATAAAAGTAATTCACTGTAATTAGTATCCAGTGGAATAAAACATAAGTTTTAAAGCAGTACTTACTTTTCTTTGATGGTTTCTTCCATTTCCTTGAATTTCTTTGACAAATTATTTGTTTTTTCAAAAACCAGAGCCTTATCACCTGGCAAGCCATGGCTGGATATCTCTTTCAGGACACTATGCAAAACTTCAAGATCTTTCTTATGTTCTAAGAATTCAGAAGTCGATTCCTATAAAGCATTTAGATATTTAGTCAATATAGATGTTGCTAGATCTTCCAATGGCATTCCATCCAGTGGTATGTATGCGATCAGAATGGCTCTACTCAGAATTTCACAGACAAATGAGTCTGCCTGTGGTCAGTACTCTAAACATAGTAACTTGCAGATAGGCTATTTGAAAGAGAACACAGTAAACTTCAATTTTAAAATGCACTCTATATTACATCTCTTTGTGGGTTCTGTCATGCAAGATGATACTTACACCACCTATGACAGGTGTGATAAATGGTATGTATTTCTCATCAATGAGCAAAGGCTTCAAAGAGAAGATGGGGTTTGAGACTTTTAAAGGAAGAAAACATATATCTTTACTAATCCATAAACAATTAAAATGATGAGTGCTAATTATAATACTGTCAATAAATGTATGAGTTTGCCTTAACTATCAATCTACTTGATCAGCCTCGTGAGTACTAACGAAGACATACCTGCATATACTGAGACAATTCTGTAACATCTTTTCCTGGCACATCTACCTCAGTAAGAGCCTGAGTTTTTGTTTCTAAAAATGTTTGGAGCTTTGCTGAGAGGTTCTCAAACATTTCTACTTTGGTTTTTAGCCCCTCCATTTTGGCAAGTTTTTCTTTGTGTTTGTGGCTTGCTTCTGAAAACCGAACAGACAAGTCCTTCATCTTAGCTTGCAGTGAGGATGCAGTAGACGGGTCTGTTGTTTCCATAAACTTCTTCACTTTTTCATTCATGGCATTTATACTGCTCTGACGACCTGCAATATCCTGTTCCAGCATCTGAAATGAACCAAATATTGCATGTGTTTTATAATGATGTTTACAAATAATGCCACTGAGTTTTAATAAATTACTATTCATAACACATAAGCTTGAACAACCTGTGACTAAGAAGGTTAACAGTTGGAACTGAATGACAAGTTTGATCTGTCCCTTGAGGGATCCCATCCCAAATCTCTTCAAGGGAGAGTGGAGAACAGCTGGCTAGTTGCTTGAAAAAGGCAGGAGGCTGCTGCTACTCAGCAACTCCTGGGATCTAATGGAGCCTGGGGATTAGCCATGGTCTTAATTTTTAAAAGGCCAGACAACAACAAGATTGATCTGATTAACCTCATGTGCAGCTGGGCTGAGGCAATAATAAACAAGATAAGACTCGATGTATGTATAAGCCCTCCATAATGAATAATATTCATGAAAAAGTATACAAAGCCCTTTCTCTACTCCACAGAAAAATCATTTTATACACTTGATTTTGTGCAAGCGCTACTGTCCACACTGTTATACTCAGAAAATACCTGTTTCTGTATCCTTAAATTTATCTGAAATCTACCTATCCTTGCAGCTGGGGTGTTTTTTTTGTTTGTTTTAACTGTAAGATTTTATTTTCCTTTTAAAATATCACTTACAATGTTTTTACTGATGATATCCTGAAGAGCAGCAGAGTTTAAGGGCACTTGACCTTGTTCCTTCAGAGAACTTTCCACACTTCCCATCCAGTCCAGCATTTCATCCAAGCCATCCTGCACACTCAGCGAGCGGGTCAGGGTTATCTGGAGTTTTTCATTTCGTTCATTAACAGACTTGGACAAATCATCGTATCTTGCAACAATGTCATCTAGTACAAACAGATCAGAAAATGTTAACCACAAAGTTCTCTTTGTCCTACTTCTTTTCAAAAATACACCAAGGTGAATCACAAAATTTCCACACAAAAATTGAAAAAAGAAAAAAGGTTTAAATAATAAATCCATAATGCATAAGAAGAATACCACCTAGAATCTTTAAAAAGAAAGAAAGAAAAGGTCTCAGTGGAAAATGAAAAATTGATATCTTAAAAAAAAAAAAGTTAATATGTATCATCACCGTTTAAAAAGAGATTTCTGGGTGCATAAACATTTCAATTGTCCCAGAGAGATGAAAGAGTGGTCCAAACGGCAAGCCTTTAGAATAAATATTGGTTCTCAATCTGACATTTCAAATTAGCTATACTTATTGATAACTATTTGGGGGGGGGGGGGGGACAATCATACACAGTTATTCCCAAAAGACAATACACAGTCATAAAGATTTATCAAGAATTAACATTCACATATGAAAAATCTCTCTCTCTCTCATACCCACATAAACAGTAGTGTGCAAGTGCTAAGCTTCTGTCATCCTTCACAACCTAAACAAAATACTCAAATGCATAAAATTGGCAGATGCAAATGAATTGAGAAAATAGACAATGAAATCCCACCTAAAGAAAGTTGAGATTATGCTTCTAAAACATAAACAAATAGAATTTATTTAAAAGTTTAATAGCAGACAAAAGGAAAAAATAAACTTCACTGGCTAACCTATCTCATATGAGATAAACTTTACTTTCAAATCTAAAGATTAGATGCTAAAAAAAATGCTTTATGGTCTAGTTTTTACTTGAATATAAAGTTCTACATTTTAACATTCTACATTCTATATTGTAGACCACTGAGAAATTCAAAGAACAATGGTTTTTAACTGCAGCTTGAGATTAGTGAGCTGCTTGTCAATTAGGCCAACTGTACATCAATAGGGTAGGTGACATCAGTTATCTGTTTAGCTTTGGTAGGTGATTTTCTAGGCAAAGTCGGGTATTTTCATATAATTAGCACATTACGAGTGTGACTTTGTATAGGCTGAATATGTGTCTCCCTCAGAATCTATATTGTTGAAGCCTAACCCCCTATGTCATAGTATTTGGAGGTGGGGCCTTTGGAAAGTGTGACATTATGATATAATAAGAAACATATTCGGTCTCTGACCATGGTTCCTGACATAGAGCTCCTGAAATGCTTGTAATTTCCTCAGCAATAGAGGCACTAGGAGAATCTTTGTTCTGATATTTGGTCTTTGACCTCAGTTCTTGACACAGAGCTCTTAAGACCTCTGTAATTTCCTGAGTGATATGAGCATCTGTCACAGCCCCTAAATCCCTTGGGATATCCTGGGTGCATCTTCTGTTGTAATGAGGTATCTCTTGGGGGCCTCCTTGGTAGCCCTGTCAGGATGAGGGCTAGTAGCCAGGGGAACCAACCATGTAATTAGAGGCTGGAACTTTCAGTCCTATGCCTCGGCCTCCGGGGAGGGGAAAGGGTCTGAAGGTTGAGTTCATATCAATGGCCACTAATGTAATCAATCATGCCTTATGTAATAAAGCCTCCATAAAAACCCAAAAGGAGCGGGTTCGTGGACCTTTCAGATAGCTGAATAACTGGAGGTTCCTGGGGGTTGGTGTGCCTGGAGAGGGTATGGAAGCTCCATACCCTTTCTCCCTTGCCTTACTCTATGCAAATCTTCCATCTGCTCTTCATGTGTATTCTTTGAAATATCCTTTATAATAAATGGCTTAACTAAGTAAAGTGTTTCCCTGAGTTCTGTGAGCCAATCTAGCAAATTAATTGAACCCAATGAGGGGGTCATGGTAACACTGATTTATAACCAGTTGGTCAAAAGTTTAGGACGCATCCTGGGACTCATGATTGACATCTGAAGTGGGAGCACTCTTACGGGACTTAGCCCTCAACCTATGCAATCTGACACTATCTCCAGGTAGATAGTACCGGAATTGAATTGAATTATAGGACACCCAGCTGGTGTCTGCTGGAGAACTGCTTGGTGTATGGAGAACCCGCCCCCCCACACACACACACCTGGTCACAGAAGTGTTGTGTGTTGTACTGAGTGGTATGTGAAAGTAGGAAAAACACTTAGGCTTTTCCTGTCACTCACAGGAGGTAGTTAGGTCATGAGGGTACGGCCCTTGTGAATGTAATTAGTACTCTTATGACATGAGAAAGATGATCTGTCTCCACCACTCTCTACCATGTGAGGACACAGCAAGAAAGCAGCCATCCATAAACCAGGAATAGGACTCACCAGGAACATGACCATACGTCCAGAACCATGAGAAATAAATGTCTGTTGTTTAAGCCACTCAGTCTATGGTATCTTTGTTACAGCAACCTGAACTAAGACACTGTTTATTCTGTACTTCTTACTGATAAAACATTGTTGCTGAAGTAAATTCTTAATTTTAGTAACTAAAAATTATTTTAGAAAAAGGGACAAAACAAAATCTACTATTAGAATGTCACTTATTTAGTCATTGGTTTTCTTAGAAGTCAGAAAGATCTTAGAGAAACTCTTCCATATCTTAAATACAGTTCCACATATTACTAGAAAACTATGCCAGACAGGTTTTTAAAGTCTTAAAATAATGAAATATATTATATTTAAACAACTAAAAATGAACCTATGGATTCTTAACAATGGGAAAAATGTCAAAATGCTTCTTCAAACACCAGAAATACAAATAAGATAGTCTTTCTCTTTCAAATCTCTACGCTCAAGTCCTTACAGCAATGGTCTCCAATGTGGATGAACAAGACAGTGCATAGGCGTAGAGAAACAAAACGTTAGAACTTTCATTCATATTTTAATCTCATACTTTAAAATTCTCTATTTTTTGTGTTTTATAATTATAATACACATAATAATAATATAGTAATATATGCATATAATTTATAAATATATGTGAATATATGGGAAGCAGGCTGAAAATCATTTGATCAAAAAAGTTTGGATGTCTGTAAGAATGAAAAAGGGTTTCTCTTCTACAGAGTGGTTTTAGAAAAGTAAAGTTCCATCCTTCTTTTCATATAAAATTTCAACTCAGATTTCAATTCATGTTCTATTTAGGGTGAAACATATATCCAATCATCTGCTGCAGGAGTTTTTTTATTTCACACAGTCACACACAGAAATATTATATACTTCAGCTCACTCATTAAATACCATGCAAAGCAGCAAAATGAAAACAAAAACCACATACAATAAGACAGCAAATAACACTAATTGATAATCCACTGTGCATTTAGCATAAACTAAATACTATGGGTAGATACCAAGAATAACACACAATAGCTCTTCTCTCAACAGACACACTGATCTAATGCGAGAGGTACAAGAGCACCATTGTAACAAGTTGCTAGTGGGAACACTGCTTTAAGGCACATCTCTCAACCTCTTAAAGCCATGCTCCCAGTATTGATAAACACCCTTGATAAAGACCCTCGGAGAGTCTATTTCAGCCCTAGATTGAAAGTCTACCTCAGCCCAATGCCATCAACCAAGAGAATTTTATAAAGATCTACTTTCTGTGGTGAACATCACATAAATAGTTTCTGTTATATTTACTAAATATAAAATCATAATTTAAATATACTCTTTTCAAGCTATGCAGCCCCCACTCATAAGATTCTAATACACCTGCCAAAGAAGGCATGCCTTCTTTCAGCAGCACCATTTCAGAGGGAAAAATCACAAATAACACAATATATAATAGTGAACATTTTCTCCATATCTATTAGAACATCTTGATTTAGAATTTACCTGTAATACAGAAAACAAGGAAATGAATATCTTACCAAGTGTTTTCTGGATATCATTCTTGGCTGGAAGTAAAGATCCCCTGGCATCTAAAAGCACTTCAGCTGTTTTTTTCAGTTTCTCTACAGCAACCTGCTGGCTTGATATCTGTCCTTGCAGAGCCTGTAGGATTAAATGCTTTTCAATTATATTCAGTAGGACTAAAAAACAGATTTCCAATATGGGAAAAAAATGATTTACAATAAGATAAAGTTAAATTGGGCAGAGTAAACTTTTCATCATATAAACTTTCATCCTCATAAACTTACTCCAGAGTTCTCAGTTCAGTAAAGCCAGTTATAAAGTAGCATCAGCAAACCATCAGCCAGTCTGGATAATACAAATTCAGTTTTGAAATAAACCCTTGGGTATATATGTTCATAATAATTTGCCTGGTTCCTGACATTACAACCCTCTAACTCTAGCCTAAGGTCCCTTTTACTCCCACTTCTAGGCTTTGTACAATACCCTGAGTATCACCAAACAAACAAACAAAACAACAAAAGACTTCTGAGACCATTTCTGACTCGAGGTGAGGAGATAATTAAGGACTTTCATATCAGTAGATCTTGAATCAATACTGAGTCATATTTATTTCTGTTAATTCACTAAAAGTTACCGAACATCTAACAAATTCAAAAGGCCTTGCTATGTTTTGTGAAAATACAAAACCAAAAACAGACATGAAGCTTACTCATAGGGATCTTATAGTCTAAGGCAGAAAGTGATAACTGCCAAAGGTGAGCAAGAAAAAATGCTACTGGGAGTTGAGGGGAAGAATAATGGGGGAGGGAAACGAGGGCACCTCAGTGGTGGTGGCACTGAGATGGGTCCTGAAGAACGTGTGGATTTAGGCAAGTAGAAATGGAGATGGAGAACATTTCCCTGAAGAACAAAAAGAAGGCACAAAGATGGGATAGAAAAATCTCAGGTGAAGGGGAGAGACCGATCCAATTTGAGAATGGGTATGGGTGAGTAAATAGAAAGGCCTCAAATGTCAGGCTAAGGAGTTTATATTTTATCTTATAGCAACGGGGAGTTATTCAAGGCTTTTGAGTTGAAGGTGTTGACATGCTCAGAGCTGTCCTAGAGGCAGGCTAAATTTGTAGCACTGGATGGGAAAAATAAGGGGGGAAGAAATAAAGCAGAAATACCGATTAGGGGCAACTTCAGCAGTAACAAAGCCCCGAGACTACTGAGGATTGAGTTCTTAGGACGATTCCACTAATCAGTCTGTCTGGACTGAGAAAGTGGGATTAGTTACAGATCTGGGACGAGTCCAAAGGACTCTGTAACATTACCTAAAGCTGCTCTGCCCATTATGGTAGCCACTAACTACATGTGGCTTTTTAAATTTAAATTAATTGACATAAAATAAAATTAAAAATTCCTCAGTTATACTAGCCACATTTCAAGTGCTAAGTAGCCACGTGTGACTAATGGCTACCGAATGGGACAGAGCAGATTACAGAACATTTCCGTCCTCACAGAATGTTTTATTAGACAGCACTGCTCTAGAGAGTGGGAACAAAGGACAAAAGGACACAAGAGGAGAGAAGGATCCAAAGATTTTGAGCCTAGGAAATTAGCAGAATTTGTAAAGAAAAGTGAAAGCAAGTTTAGGAGTAAAGGAGAGCCTGTTTTGGAATTCATAACCTCAAAGTGCTTTTGGGACCCTCATATAGAGAGAAACAGCCAAGCTGGAAACGGAGGAGACTCTGAACACAGGCTGGAACTAGACATAAAGAATTAGAAGTCAAGATACATGATGAAACTGCTAAAGGAGAAAGCACAGAAACATCAGAGAAGGAGAGTATAGAGAATCACGGAGGATACTTATGCTGTTGAGGTGATGGGAAGAGGAAAAAGAGATAGAACAAATGTCATCAGGAAGGTAGAAATGGGCCCAGAATAGAAATGGCTCCAAAGCTTAAAGGAAGAAAGTGGAAAAGGTTAACAGTGTCAACTGCTTTGGAGAGGACAATGTAAACCAAAGACTAATGAGTCCTTGAATTTACTGAAGAGAGGTCCCTGAGGCTCGAGTGAGCAGATGCGGTTCAACAATGGGAAGGAGGAGCAGAGAGACAGGTGAAGGAACCACAGATCAGTCTCCAGAGGTTGGGCCCTGCCCTCCCACAGCCCCTGCCTGAGTGGCTGACTGGCCACACACACCCTACAATTGCCTTTAATTTCACTTAAGGAACCCGAGCTCCTCTTCTAGTCTTGCATTCAGATTTCAAAGTCCTATAAGTCCAATTGTAGATGAACTCATTCCTGGTAATGGGCCCAGGTTTCCAACTGCCTCTTGACTGTTTCCATCTGGGGGTAAACAGTCATCTTAAACTCAAGAAAGCCTAACTCTGAAAGTTTGTCTCATTCCCTACACCTGTACTGCACACTGGGGTTATACCTAATTGTCCAAGTAGTAAACCTGAGGCTCCTATAGAGCCCATCCTCTCTAAACCTTCTTTTCCACGTACAAATGAACCATCAAGCCCTGACAATTTTATGTGCTTTATTTATTTTTTTCAATCAGACTTCTGCTTTGCATTTCTGGATCACTGCAGCATAGTCTCTCACTTGGATTATTGAGAAAAGACTCCTAACTGTGCTCCTGCCTCCAATCACTTCCCTAATATAGCCTCCAACATGGTTTATCTAAAATGTTTCTGACCATGTATCACTCCCGTTTAAATCTTTCAGTACCCTCCCTTCATAATAAAAGCTAAGATTTAAGCATGCCATAAAAAATCCCATTAAATCTATTCCCTAATTCTATCTTCAATCTCAACCTTCTCCACATCCTGCTCCAGAAAATGTTCAACACAGCTATTTCTTAGCTATCTGCTCACATTGGACCCAATGCCTTAACATCGCTATATACCAACCTTTTCATGCAACCTACCCCCATCATCCTGACCCTGGCTCTTATTCACTCTTTAATACTCAGCTGGGAATCCTTCCTTAACTCTCTCCTCACCCCTACTTGGGTTAAGAACTCCCTCCAGGAGTTCACACAAATACCCTGTGAATATTATTGGATTTATCTGTCTGTTCTATGAAACTACAACCCTGTGGAGGACTAGGAATTCATCCTATTCCACCTTCTATTATCAGAACTTAACCTAGGCTCCAGTAAAAGTCCTGGAATAAATGAGTGAATGAATAAGTAAATAAATAAAGACATCAGGCTTAAGACCTTAAAAAGGTACTCTTCTATTCCAACATTATTATTATTACTTAAAATAAATTCCTAAAGCTAATGACAAAAATTTCCTCAACCAATTTTCATAGTCTAAGAAACCGTGATGACAGGCCATGTATATGTCAAAAGGCCCACCAGACTAAGGCCAACATGAGATCTGTGATCTGAATTTCAGATCTTACAGTTGTTTCAAGAGGCCGAAGAATCTGTGTCAGAGTGGATCTGTTTGGGAAATTATCCCAGAGGTTTAGAAAGTATAGGAAATCTCTCCAGACATGAACTTTATCTACAACTATCTATCCAGACTGAAGTCCAGGCCACAGAGACAGATTATTCACATCACATGATTATTAAGGAGATAAAATAAAGTTAAGTGCACCCTCCCAAAATTATTTTTTTAGAATGTGAGATCACCAAAGGCAGAGGCAGGGTTTTAGCATCTTGTGTCTTCATAAAACCTAACAATGGGCCCAGCCCACAAATGTTTACTGAATGAATAAATATATGTAAAAGTTATCATGATTCTATAAAAACATCCAATGCCAAAGATGGCCCTGCCTATCATCTTAGAAATGGATTATAAAAGTGGCATCTCTTCTTTATTTCTTTTCAAAACACCCCATGCCTTAACGCTCTAGATTTATATTCAAGAGAGCTAATAGTTTTTAATTCCTAACATGTATCAAATTATAATTTAATGACAACAATGGTTTATAGTACTACTCTCGAACAAAACTGCAAATTAAAGTAATCAAATGGGTAACTTACATTGTTTTGAATGGATTTCAACAAAACTAAAATATGAAAGAAGCATCTGTGACAGGGAATACTGTAAGATTATGAACTTAGTCTCCTTGGCTGGACCAGAAAATGGTGAAGTCTATAAAGCTGTGGACACTTGTCTGGTTCATATAAGTTTCTTGACTCAACACCATCTCAGAGATCAGTGTAAGCCTGGAAGGTTGATATTGTCAGTCAATGTGATCGGGCCCCATTGCTGGTTCCAAACCCAGGCCTCTAGACCGGTCCCAGAATCCTGTCTTATACACATCTTATGGGGCTAAAATCTTGTTTTATCCACTGATTTCCCTGGAAGGGGATCTTGAGGAGTGTCATTATAGCTCAGTAGTATCATACTATTGACAACACAGTTAACAGTTCTTTGAACAATAATGTTAAAAACGACATGCTATTAGACAGAAATATTTCAAAGGAACTAATTGGGTACCCCCAAATTACTTTTATCATACAATGGAATGTAAGTAGAAGACAGTGTGTTAAATGTAGAAAGACTGATTTTTTTGTAGTAGTCTTATGTATTTATATTCTCGTTAAAATAAAAGTAATTATAAAGTATTGTTAATAAATATGAAGTAAATGATGATAATTAATCTTCATAAAACTTTATCTTTGATACATTCTGAGATCGTCTGTGAGAAAAAGGTAATAAGCCAGGAACAACTTTAATTGTACATTTAATTTTTAAAATTATTCTATGGCTTAATTAGAATTCATTCTCCCTTGAGATGTCTCTCTTTTTTGTATCTCTCTGACTGCCTTAGGATTAGAGTAGAAGTCTTCTACAGTACTTACCAAACAAGTTTTTCTGTTTTAAAATTAGTCCATGTATCTAATTTTACATGTATGGTTTAGTTAAAAAGCCATAGCATTCTCTTGGGTTTTTCTTTCTTTCTTGGTTTCTTTGCTCTAGTTACATAAAAGTTACTTTTATACAGGATATAATCTACTTCCTAATACAGATCTAACTTAAAATGTGTTATTTCTATTTTACATACTTTCCTATCCTAAAAAATTTCTAACTTCCTAATCAAGTGTAATACAGGCAATGTTAATTGCCTGCTAACCTGGCCTAGGACATCTCCTTGGTGCCCACTGTGGGGCTGCGTCAACTCTTCAGCCCAGGAAAGGAGACGATCCACTCTCTTTGCCTTCCACCCTCCCCTCCCTCCTCTCCTCCTATGCTTCCATCCCCTATTCAGGGCCTTCTCTCTGTCTGGCCTTAACTTGCCACACTCCACCCCAAGTTTGACTAAGCTTTCTTCCAGCCAGAAGTCACCAGTCTCAGGTAATACCTAACTTTAAGCCCACCCAGTAGGGAACCTGTTTTCTTGTTAACAGAACAATGATGATTTTTGACCCTGTAACTAACAGGCAATAAAATTCTGAAAGGTGGTTGATTAACTGGCAATCCTGTGTTTACTTTCTAGCTATGGCAGCAATAAGCCACTGCTAACCACCTTCTAAAAGGAATCGTAGAATAGATTTATGAAACAAAACTTTGAAAATCAAAATTATTGGTCATAAATTTATATTGCCATAGATTTTAAAATAGAATAAAGAGTCTCTCTGCCACTGAGGGTATGTCTGAGACTCCCACATCAAGGCTGCACTTCTGAAAGAGCAGGTAGACTTTCTGAGAACTGTGCCAAGTAATAACCAAAGTTTGCATCTCTATGAATCCTGAGGACAGTCAGTAGGAAGCCCGATCCTGGTCCTTAGAATCCCGAATATGATAGTGACATCACTCTTCCTTGCCACCTGTCTGTTCTTGATCAAATATGTATTGAGTACCTACTTTGGACCAGGTAATATTCTAGGTGCTAGGAATACAGCAATGAACAAAAACACCTATTTAACTCTAATGGAGGAAAGAAACAATGAACACGATAAACAAGTATAGAGATAAACAAGTGGCTTGACTGATACTGGGTTTTGTTTGGGGAGGAGGGATAGTGGAATGCAGGTAACAAGCCATGACGGCAATGTCAAAACAATTAAATAGCGGGGGAAAAAATGAATGGACTGTGGGGAAAGAGCATCATAACTCCCTCTGGAGAGAGAAGTATAATTTCTCATCCTTGTTCCCCTAGCCTAGATGAAACTATCACAAAAGTGTAGGAAACTGGAAGTCTTTCAATAAGACTACTCGAAAACCAGACCACTCTCTTTCTTTTTTTTACCTTGGTCTCTTCTAATTGCCTTTGCAGATTTTTGGGGTCCACAGCAATAGGCTCAGATAAGTGTTTGCTTGCTGTGACTTCACAGGCCTGGAGCCCAGAAAGAAGTCCACATGAAGCATCTTCATAGTGTTGATATTTATCCACCAGATCTTTAAGATTATTTCCAAGAACGCTGCACTGAAAATCAAAAGAGAAAAGGGGTAGGAAATTAAAACCCACTATTTTCATAAATAAGGTCAAATAACTTTAGGATCTATGACTGTGTAACTTGGAAAAAAACAGACTTCAGCCAAAGTTAATTAAACCTTTATAGAGCTAAGATTTTCTCTTCTGCATGAAGAAGCATCCTCTAAGAAGTCAAAAAGTAACCACAAAAATGAGGAGATAGTTCTAGATTTATACCAATTCAAAAACATACTTATAAGGGCTGAGTCTTAACACAAAATGAAGGATAAAGATATTAATCATCAGAGCAGGCTGATATACCAGGTCACATTCCCACTGGGTTCTATACACCATGTGTATAGATATGTATTTGATAGAAAGGTTTTCAAGGTATCTCATAAATCACTTCTCTATATTGCATAAGATTGATTAACACAAGAAGGGCATATGGTCTACATTAGAATGAAGTCAAGTCCAAGAATCAATGATGATCTTCAAATCATTTATGCAACTTGGTAAGTCTGTTCAGCTTGTATTGCAAACAGGGAAATATAAGGGTTTTTTAAAAACAAAACTCTTTTACTTGTCCACAGAAGTAAAAGAAGCAAAATAGTCTGTCGGTCATTAAATACTAAAACAATATACTGATCAAATATTTCTGTAAGACAAACACTTGTAGTATTTGTGAAGAGAATTATTTAAAATGAAACTATAGTTCCCAAACTTGAGAGGCTGCAAGCCACTATTTTTACTTAGAGTCAATACATATTCGCCATCTGGTGGTCAAATTGGATATTAGAGTTTTAGAGCTGGGGCTGCCTGGAAACCACTCTCTCAAAACTAACCAAATAAATAACTTTAATCTCCTAATTTTTAAACACATTTTTCAGAAGTAAAGCAGATGAATAAAACTGAAGGAAGTAGGCTGAAGCTACCTTTTTTCCCTGCTTTGGTTTTTAGGTTTCTTGCTTCTAATTCCAAAACAAAAGTTAAGAGGACAAAGTGAAATCTATAATCACAGATCGATCTTCCCCTTAAAAAATAAAAATAAAATTACCTTAGAGTAGAGAGACCTGAACCGATCCGTAGCATCGTCCAATTTGCTCTGGACTTCTCTGTGGGTTGCAGAAGTGTCAATATCATCTTTGTCAATCTTGCCGCCATCTCTCCTGCTGCAAGATTTGGCAGCCTCTAACACCCTGTTTCCAGAAATTGTGATGTACCTCAAGTCACCTTTGTGAGAAATAACGTCTTCTGAGAAACTCTTCTGCCTCTTCAGTTTGGTCATTAAACCGTTGAAGTCATCTGCACCTGCCTCCAGGTTTTCAAGTTCTTGTTCTGACTGCCGTAGCCAGTGCTCAAACTCGCTATAATCAGCATCGAACTTTTCTAATTCCTCCTGCAGAGAGTGTGTTAACTTCACTTTCTTCTCCGACTCAGCTAGTACAGTCTCATAATGTGCTTTCAGTTCCTTCATGTTCTTTTGCAGTTTCTCTTTTTCCTCAGGAGAGAGATAGTGACCCTGTTTCTCAAGCAATGCTTGTGCAGACTGAGTGGCTATGATGACTGATTGGTGCTGAGAGATGATCTTCTCGTGTTGAGCCTATGTGAAAACAAATTGACCATAACTTTAAAGCAGTGACATGGTTACACCAAAGCCATCAGAGCTCCATGTTGCCTCAGGAACAACAAGCATCAATTATCCACATGGTGCAACTTGCTTCTCATTTCCCTTTTCAAGCTATACTCGTACAATATTCCCCTTTTATTGGTAAATTTCTGGACAGCAAGAGCTGCATTTTGAACACTCTTATCTTATTTTTAAGGATATTCCAAGTCTTCTCTAAAAAGTACTCAGATAATCATATAAGACAAATACTGTTTTTGAGAAGTTTAGAAAAAATGTTAACAAATTTCTCTTCTGATTCCAAAAACAAGCATCTGTAATCTGATCTCATTTTACTCACTGCTTCCTTAAAACCACCCAAAAGGGACCACTCACATTTTACCTAATTACTTAGCAGATGAGTACAATATTTTTTATTAGGAAATGATCCTGAAAAAACATTTAAATAGGGAAAAATAATCTGTAATATTAAAGCTATAAAAATACATCAACAATTTAAAAATTTTTTAAAATTTATTATTAGCATATTCATTCTTACAAATTCAACATTAAGCAAGAAAAATGTTCATTCAGAGAAGCCCGGTGGAAGTTAAAGGAACAGAAATAATAAAAGAGAATACTGGAACTAATTAGCTTCATTGGGCCTCAGTTTCCTGCATGTGAAAATGAAGACAATAATCCCTAAACATCACAGGTTTGCTGTAAGGAGTATATGAGATCACATAAACAGAACACTTCCTGCAGAGCCTGGGATCCAAATTCACCCTGAAGGCAGGAAGGCAGAGCTCCCAGCAGGTGTGCTGCAAACAGGACACAGGTGTGCACAGCTACTGATCAACTCAGGCTTCAGGGCAGCAGGTGGGCCTCGAGTGGCTGGAGTCCCTTTCCTCCAGCCATCAGTATCTTCTCCCACTCACCCCAATACACCATACAAATATGGCAAAAAGGATCATCCTTTTGGGCTATTTTCAACATTTCTTATAATGGCTTATATGGAGCCAAATGGTCTGATCCCATTACATAAGAGCTCCTTCTACTTACTATATGCGACCTCTTAACTGCTCCCACCCCTACCCCCGCCTCGAACCTGGCAGACACTTTAGAATCTTTCTCCTGCTGTTCTTTGTCTAGTAACAGCTCTTTCATCAGACATCCACTTGACTAACCCCCTGACTCTTCTAAGTCTTTGCACAAATCTGATCTTCTCAACGTGGCCCACCTTGACTATTTTATTTAAACACTGAAAACTGGCCCCCAACCCCACGCTCAACCATCCTTACCCAACTTTTTAGTTTTTCTCCATTTGCACTTACCACCTTCTAACATACCACATAACTTAGTTAATGTCTGTTGTACCATCCGGACCATCCTCCCCCCCCGCCCCCCGCCCCTGCCCTGTATGTAAGCACCAGGACAGGGCATTTATTTTGCTCACTGGGGAATCCTAAGCACCTAGAACAGTGCTGGCACACAGGGGCCGAGGGAGAAAAACTGTATGCTGGGAAGTAAAAAGGACTTAGAAGTCTACTGTAGGGCAATTTTTTCACTTAAAAGTCTGATCCCAATTAGTCAGCTGAGAACAGACTGATTAACATTTGAATCCTCACTGTCTGTAACAATGTCTGCCACACTATAGGCACATGATACATATTTTTGACTGAACAGTCAGCTGAGAACAGACTCATTAACATTTGTATCCTCACTGTCTGTAACAATGCCAGCCATGCGTGCGCACATGATAAATATTTTTGACTAAATAACTTTTCTCCCTCAGACTTTGTCTTTGGTATTTGAATTATACTCATACGCTACCCTCCAGAAGGGCTTTGCACATAGTAGGGTTGACTAGACATATAGAATGCCCTATGAACAACCATATCCATCCCCTTCCTGTTACAAATGAGGAATCTCCAGCTAAAGGAGGAGAGTGGCTTGGCCCAGGACACGTGGCACAACTACAGAGAGCTAGAAATTCTTGGCTCAGGCCCTTTGGGCATCTTTCCACCCTACCAGGAGATTAGGACTTTCTAAAACACTTTCAGATTCCCATATTCCTAGAGGTAAGAAGATCAGAAGGGAAATGTCATACTGTGGCTAAAAACCAGGGCTTTGCTTTGTGACATGTTTATGGTAAGTACACCCACTGGTATTTTTCACCACTTTGGACACATTACTAACATTACCTGACTTCTTTGCAACTGATTCATAAAGTTCCTTTAGGAATTCATTAGATTTTTCATTGTAAGAGACAATAATGATAAGGCCCTATAATAGCCCCTTGAAACTATGATATAGCAAATACTTCCACTCTTCTTCTGGCTTAATTTATATTTTCTATAAATACCTCACATATGAACCTCACACAGAGTATCATATTCTGAAGATTCCGAAGATGACTAATTGGAGGAAACCAAATAGAACTGTAAAAGTTTCTAAAGTCTAGTCAACCGACTACTGAAAGCCACACAATGAAATAATTGATAACTATATGACACTTTAAAAATGATTTTACAAAAGTTGCCTTTGTATCTATAGTGGCATTGTTATTAGCTTTAATTCCCACCACACAGTAAATTTTTAGAAGGGCTTTTAGATCTCTTTTCAACAATATCCTTCACTGTATAGATAAGCTGAGCTCGGAAAGAACTTAGGTGAGCTCAAGATTGCACAGCAAACTAGTCTATGAATGTGAATGAGAATTTAGCAGAGAAACTAAGCACATGGCCTAGTTTTAAATCCGAACTCTGTGCCTTACTTGCTGTGTAACTTGGGCAAGCTACTTTAGTACGCCAAGTTACAGCTACCACATCTGTAAAAGGAAAATAAAAACCTCAAAGAGTAATCGGGAGGACTAACTGTGCTAGGAGCTTAGAAGAATGTAAGACTGGTTTTCTGTACTTGCTCTATAAATGTTAACTATCATTATCATTTCTATTGATTCCTTATGATTCTGCTTCATTATGTCAAGAATACTAGATCTAATGATTTTTTCTCATTTTTTTACCTTGCTTAGAATTCTCACAATAATTTATATTTGACATAATGATGAACCTAGAAACAAAGGACTTTACTCTGTGGTCATTAAGGTTTGAGAAGGTAACTCATGTGCCAGGTTGTTTCTATCTTTACTGACCTGGAAATAGAATGTTACGATATCACTATGTTTAAAACAACACACCTTGGGCCGGTCCGGTGGCGCACTGGAGAGTGCGCTGCTTGGGAGCGCGGCGGCGCTCCCGCTGAGGGTTCGGATCCCATGTGGAGACCGGTTCCCGCTCACTGGCTGAGCACAGTGCGGGTGCAACACCGAGGGTTGCGATCCCGTTGCCGGTCCCCGGTACGGGCGCGACACCGAGGGTTGCGATCCCATTACCGGTCAGTAAAAAAAGACAAAAAGGAAAAAAAAAAAAAAAAACACCTTAACTTTCTGGTATTGCTGGTTCAGATTCTCCTCGGTGGTTCCAACTTGCCCATCAACATCAGTTTCCAACAGGTTACCATTAACTTCATCCTCTTCTCCAATCACCGACTTGCCATCACCTTCTTGAAAATGGGTCCCATTCTGTTCAATTATCTGTTTGTGTTTTGTCTCTGCCCTTTCTGAGTCCTTGTCCATGTTTGACAACCAGTCCAAAAGGTCTTCTATTTTGGCTTTGCTCTCTTCCAATTGCTTCACAGCTGCAACCTAGGCAGAGAAAGTTCAGGACAGGTACTCTGAACACAGGCCGAGGCACAGTTTTAAGACATTCCAAAAATAAATATTTAGATCATTTTAAATTAGAATGAGGATACTAAAACTGACACTTATTTAAAACACATTGGAATTAAACCTTAGAGCAATAGGCAGTTACTTTGCAGTTTTCACTGTTCTTAGAAATATATCCCAAAATTTTAGCTATAATTGACGAGTGATCATACATTTCACAAATGTGAAAGTGAAAGTCTCACAATCCCACTTAAATTTTAAGAAAAAGTTAAGCAAAGCTAAATCTTCAAACCTTTTGTTTGATCAATTATACACCTGGAAACCCAGAATTTTAGTCCTTGATGCTGACCATCGCTTACTACCACCTGATATCACTTAATAAATCAACTAGCTGTTACACTAATCATTTTTCACAAAGCAATAGTGTACCACATATTTGAATACAAACTTTTTCATTTTCTTCCTTGATTGCTGATGTCACAACTTTATCCAGCTCCTTTTTTGACTGTTCTGCCTTTATATTAAGCTGTTCACATTTTGTCTTAGCTTCATTAAGTTTCTGTTCAATCAAATCCTTATCTTCTTGTGACAACTTTTCACCATTCTCTTTTAAGAAGTTCTCTGTGTTTTTCACTATTTCTGCCAGTGCCTGTGCACTTCCTTGCATATCCTTCTGTAATTCCTTTTAACACACACACACAAACACAAAAATATTTCATTAAATTATTACCATTGAACTCTTCCAGAGTTGTAATTCTAAAAGTAGAGGTGAGAGAAAAAGAGAGTCTAGGACACACAGTTTGAAAAAGCATATTCAATGTGTTAATTTGAGTTGGTGTACTTCAATCACAATATTTAATATAATTTGAAATCTTGAACAACACTGAAGAAAAGTATGAGATTTTCATATTTTCTGTGACAAAAGAATGTAGTTTTTGAAATACTGAAAACAACAATTTTTTACACACACCAAATTTTTTTATATTATATGAGCACATTTACAATAGCTGGTGGCTATTTCCCCTGATTTGCAAGTGAATAGGTTGGCCTTAAATAGATCCAAATTTTAATTTATCACACAAGGTATTTCTACTATCAAACCTCCTTTATACTTCCTCCACTCAATATCTCACCAAAAAAGTCAAGAAAATTACCTGGCCCGCTTGTAGTTGGAAATCTAACTTTTAGTGTAAAGTTTAATGCTCAGGCCTGGGGCACCTAGGTATGCCTTGCTTCTGAAAAGCTAAAATTATTGGCATTTTTCAATAATCCTGTTTGCCTTCCAGAGGGCAGTAGTCAAACATAACACCAACAGAGAGCTGCTGAAACAAAACCAAACTCTACCTCTTGCTTGGATTGGTACTTTTTTAACTCAACCGTGCCATCTCCAATCACAAAGGCTTCTTGGTGACCAATTAGACGGTTTTCAGTTTGAGTGAGGAAATCACATATCCCTTGGAGTTTCTCTTTGTACTCCTGCTGACGCTCTGCCATAATCTAAAGTGGAAAAAAACCAAAATATCTTAAATGTGTGGTCATAAATCACTATTGTGATAGCTCCTTATTAGAACACATTTTTCAAGTTTCCCCTAATAAGCTTTTATAAGTATGCTGTAAACATGATAGCAGTGGGGTACATGGAGCAAGGTGAATCAGAAAGTATGAGCATGTCCCATATACAAGGAAAGAGATCATGTATGGATGAAAATGCCGAACAGAGTACTGGCCATGCATATGTGTAAGAGATGGAACTTCTGACCGACAGGAAGAAACATCCCATTTTCTTAAGCTCTTGAAACCTGCGATACACACAATTAATTCTGCAAAAGGACATCAAAAGAGAAGTTAGTCGTGATTTGTTGGTTAACATATTTGATATGTGTATACAAGTTATCATGCTAGAGACAATGCCTGGGTGCTTCAAGAAAATAATAAAAGACACATTGCATGCGATATTTCTACTTAAGTCTAATTGCATTCCCACCTCTTTGCTCATTATTGCTATTAGATATAGCACTCTAATACAATTCGTTAAATCTAAAAGATTAATAAGTCAATACTAGTAATTCCTTGCATCTTTCATTTTCCTATTATATATACACTAGTTATTCATTTTATAGCCATAGATCATGTTTACTGAGAGCCTAACACATGCTAGGTAAGGTACTAAGAATCTTACACACATTCTTTTATCGATGCTAACAACACTACCTGGTAAGAACTATTATTATTTCCAATTTACCAATGAGAAAACTGAGGTTAAGTGACTTGTCCTAGGTCACAAAATGAGTGAGCAGTGCAGCCAGGATATAAACTCAAGCAATCTGGCTCCAGAGCCCACGCTCTAAGCTGCTGAACCATATCACCTCTCAGAGGTAAAAGATACTCTTAATCTTCTTTAGCCATATATTCATCAACTTATTCCTCGAAATTTCTGAGTGTATCCATTTTTCCTCCTCTTAGGAAGAAAAAAAGTCAAGACTCTCATGTGAAATGAGTAGTTTTAGGGAGTCATAAAAATTAAAGTCATTGTGGAAAAGAATATTGTTATACACTGTATGATCTCTATATTGTATCTTAAATGCCTTTCCAGAAAAATCTTTCCTATTATGCTATAATTCCTGGATATCTATATGAAGGTTTCACACTGAAGAAGTGAAAACAAAGAATTCCATCTCCACAAAGAAAGGCAAACCTTCTGATCATCAAGATCCTGTTCTAGCTGTAACTGAGTCTCTAAACATTCCACCTGCGTAGTTACTGATTCCTGTACATCAAGAAAACGCTTCTGTGTTGTATTTAAGAGCCTCAGCAGTTGTTTGCTTTGGTTGGGAGTCAGGTCTTGTGCATATTCAGAAATGAAGAACTGCACATCAAAGGCAGTAGTCTCCAGCTGCATTTTGGTATGTCCAAGGTCTTTTAATACATTCTGTGAACAAAGTAGTACAAGTTACCAATAGAGAGTTAAGTCATGATAAAGTTCATATAAACAATAATATTTATTTTTTAAATATTCTTCTTATATCAGGTACTAAAAGGCTTATTGACTCTCTTGTTATTGTCAAAAATTTATTCATCATCTAGTAATAGACAATAAATTAATTATTTAAATACAATGATAGCTAATATTCTATGAAAAAATAAGTAACCTCTCTAAGAAATATTTTTTTTTTCTGCCTGCCACCTCACACTTAAAATGTAACTCTGACAAAAGACAAAGCTCCAACTTAGGTACATTTAGCACAATGAAGGGAAACGCTCACATTAACATAGTTCTTGCTAATATATATGGCATCCATGTAACTGTGGTAACACATAAACAAGATTGAGGGATTCCATTATACGAATTAAATGGGCCAGAATTTCAGTTTTCTGACTCTCAGGCCAGGAGCCTAATGATCATTCATAAGGTATGCTGTTCAAACTAAGAATTTGGAAAAAAAAAAAAAATTCCTTGCCAAAAGTGACTAACATATAAATACCACTTATACTATTATGTATTTACATGACTGCTACATAAATAAACACATAAACACAAATCTCAACATGTCAGTGGTAGTATGAGTTTGATAAGGCATTTGGGATAGCAACAAAATGACATCCATAAAGTTGTGATTATTTTATAGTTGTGTCAACTATAAACAAACACCTCTAAGAGACAAAAAAAGGAAATAATCCTTTACAGCCTTAACAAAGTCGTATTTTTTCTAAGCATTTATTATATAAAGTACATGGGTATTTTTAACGTACTTTTTCATTTATTTTGATACTTGCCTTGAGAAACTCCAAACTTTTCTTTACATGTTCAGTATCTTGAACATTCGCAATCTCAATATCCCTCACAGATCTGTTCTTCTCTGATATCCAATCTGAGAATGACTTAAGTTTATGCAGAAATCCTTCATGGGAAACTGTTAATTTAGACTAGAAGATAAAATTGTGTGTTTATTTCCATCTGTCCCCTAAAGTTCAAATTCATACAAATAGTGATTCGGGGTTTAAAGAGGCTTAAAACTCTAAAATTTAAATACTTCATCATATGACTAAATTCTCAAATAATAAAATTTTCTTCAAAAATCAAAATTTGACATTTTTATGCTTACCATTTCAGAGTCAATCGCAAGCGTGATCTGTTTCATTCTTTCTGAAGACATGTCACTGAGGGAAGAGAAGGCGGTCTGCAAGCCTTGGTGGCTTATATTCAATTCCTCAAGATGACCTCTGGGAAAGTCACTGGGAAGAGACTTTAAGAATTCTTCTGCCAACTTCATATCTTTTCTTATAATAACTGCAATTGGAGCCAATCCCATTTCAAATTTCTGCAAAGAAATATATCCCAGATCCTTTTACTATTTAGTGAAAAACACAAATATAAAATAAAACATGTAAGTGAAGTGTTTTGCTTCTTTTACCCAATCTAACATCAGCTGACTACCATCCAAATAGGCAGCAGACGATTCTTACCTCTAACTGTTTAAGTTGATTCTTCAAAGCTTCTAGACTATTATCCAGAGAGTACTGGTTGTCTAAGGGGGGGTTCATATCTTGAAGCAAAGTCAAATACTCATGCATTTTTTTGGTGTGCCGTAAACACTGCTGTAACTCATGGGAAAACTAAAAATAAAATTGGATATTTTAATTCAATAGGCTTTATGCAGGTTTGTAAGCAAATGTTTCATGCAGGTACTTCCACATAAAATGTGTATGTCAACTTACCTGTTCCACTGAGCTATCTCCAGAAGTCATTTGTTTTGACCCTGAAATACATTCCAACTGGTTTGGGGAATCATCGCATAGCTCCTTGAGCTGCTCATCTCTTGGTAATGCTGATGCACATACAGTGGAGTTTTCTAGTCCAATCTCTTTTATAGTTTGTAAATGAAGGGAACAGTGGTTTCCTTTTTCGCTTTTAAGATCACCAAGAATGTGTGGCTCTTCTTCCACCATCTCACAAGTAGTACGTGCCCTTTGATTCAAATCTCCAACCTGTTCTACTTTTTCTGAATATTCATCAGCAAGCAGCTTGTAGAAAATATTTTCAAGTTGCAATGGAAGTATTTTGGATGTAATACCTCTTTTCTCTAGATCATACTCCATCTGAGTTAATTCTCTCATCAGTTCAAATACTCCTTTAATTTTCTGGCTATGTTGATTTTGCTTCAACATATCAAGGAGAAGCCCAGACTTAAGATTTTCAATGCAGAAAGGGTCATCTCTACTCTCTGCTTTTAGTTCTGATGAGTTATTCATGGGACAAACTCCAGTGTAGTCACTGCTTTTAGAGACACTGGTCATAATAGATGCTTCATTTACCAACTGTGATGTGCTAATCCTTTTAATTAAGTTTTGAACTAAAATTGTAGTGTCTGCACAGGCTGAAGGTTCTTCAACTTCTAGAGGATTCATAAGAGCTTCTTTCAATCTGCTTTTTAAGATATCCGTTACATCCTCGACAAATACCTGAGATAATTCAGGAATCTGAACCTCCTTTTCTTGGGGTCTTGGAGACAAAGCTTTTTCTTTTGGTGGCTGTTGCTCAATTATTTCTTTCTTATTAATTTCTAAGAATGAGTAGTCAGTATCTGAAGTGTTATTGGAGTTATTTCTTTTTCCATTTGTACAGAGCTCTAACTGCACAAAATCATTATCTTTCTCAAGGTCTCCCACATTTTTAAGAGGTAAGATTGAAAGTGTGGTTTCACTACTTTCTGCTGTGAACTGAGGAATTTCTGTTCCTCCTTCTGAGACACCTTCTTTAGTACAAACATTACACCGTGCCATCTCATTTAGAGGGGAGTCTTCTTGAGTACAAGTTGACTTCTCTTTTGCATTATTAACTCCTAATTGTAAATGTTCTTTCATGGGTGGGGCAGCTATTAAAACATGGCTTGGGATATCTTCATTTGGTTTTGGCACATCTTTTGCTTTTATATATTTAGCACAATGTTTTAAATAAGTAAACATATCAGGCTCTTTCTCAGGTTTATCAGTGAATGAATCTTTCTCAATACTAGTACTCCCTTCAGACGATATAATGTCTGAAGGAATGTCATTATCGATCACTTTGGAAACTGATGTGTCAAATATTTCTTCAAGATTCTCAAACTGAACAAGACTTTCACTAACCATTGTTTGTAGATTCTTTGGTTCATCTTTAAGAGTTACCATGGCTTTTTTAAGGCTTTTCTGATTAAGTTCTTCATTGTCTGTGATTTGTGGAGATGGAAACTGACTATTAAGTAAATTGAGATTGTCCCTTGTATTTTTACTAGACAAAAGTTTGAGATATTTATTTTCTTCTTCTACTCGACCTTCTTTAAGCACTTCTCCTTTACCCAGGCACATTTTCTGAGTCTCATCTGTTAGTATACTGTTTTTGTCATCTCTCTCTTTCGTTAGATCGCTTACATTTCCCTGATGATCTTTGTCAGTTGCAGAGGCTATGGATAACAAACGGCTTTCCTCAGCAGGTTTTCCTATTAAATCAGGCTCAGAACAAATGATTTCACCAAAAGATGAGGTGATTTTAGGTGTCACATTCTTCAAATATTTATGTTCACCTTTCATGGAGTCAGTAGATTCTGGCCCTTGAATCAACTTAACCTTTGTGTTCATTAGATCACTATCTAATTCAGAAGTTGAACTGATATTATTATGTAAAATACCTACAGGGTCAAAGGTTTTTTCTGATCCACTGTCTTTAATGACAGGCAGCAATATATCCTTAGGTACTATCTCACGATTCAACAGGTTTTCTTTGCTTTTTCCAACAATTTCAGTTGTATACTCTGAAAGGTTCCTTCTTTCGATAACTAAGCTACTCTTACTAGTTGGTTCCAGCTGTAAAACATTTACACTCTGCTGTTTTTCTAAAGAAGTATAACTGTGCATTTTATCCAGGAGAATGATTTTATTAGTACTTTGATTTTCAACACTGCTTTCCTTTACATTTACAGTGGAGGCACACGACTGGATATCCCAACTTTCAGCCTCATCCTGGCACGTGGGCTTTCTGTTCTCCTCTCCCATTCTTCCTCCTTCTTCATCACCACCCTCATCACAGTTGTCGTGGTCATCATTATCATCCTGATCATTACTGTCACATACATAATCACCATAACTTTCTTCACTTTGCACAGAGTCAAAATACTCAGTATCAGATTGAAATTCTTCTCCAGTTACACACTCCTCTCTTCTTCCTCTCCACCTGCCAGTGCCATCAAATTCTAATGAAGCGCTGAAGCTCTCTTTCCTTCCTACAGTTTCATAGTCAGTCACTGGGTCAGACTCATCACCTTCAAGCATATTTGCATGTTCCCTTTCTGATGCAGTTTCCAGTGACGGTCCATTCACCTTGTCTAAGCCAACTGAATTTAAATGTATTATTTCACCAGAATCTAATTCAGCTTTCTTAATGCCTATGAGAAAATCCTGAAGACACTGTGCTTGGCCGCTCACACTTAAGTTACCAACTAGTCCCCCCTGGGGAACCACAAAACTTTCATTCTCTTTTGAAACATCGTAAAAAACATCTGCAGGAGGAGCTGTCCCATCGTTTTCCTCTTGCAGTGTGTCATAGTCCTCAGGCTGCACACAATCACGGTCATCACCTTCAAGAAGCAGAGAATCATGGTCATCATCTTCAAACAAGGGGGTATCATAAAAATCATCATCACTATCACTGTCTGTTCCCGTGTCACTCTGCTCATCATCCAGCAGTGATGTTTCATAGTCACCAGCACTTATGGTTCCTTCAAGCGATGGTGTACTACAAATACAAGACATGTTGGCATTATCAGCATCACCCCTTGGAGTCACTGCACAGGAGTTCTCTTCCATGTCAGACTCATTCTGCCCTTCTTCAGTTTTCTGCGGAGAAGCAGTATGCATTTTTTCATCCTCATCAGAACTATGTGAAATGGATTCATTATTGTGATACTGTACTTGAGGATTACTACAATCAATATTTAAATATTTCTGTCCAGAATGTTCTCCCTGTAACCTGATGTTAATAGCTGCAATTCCCAGAAACTGGTCTTGAAATTTTTCTCCCATTCTTTGATCTGGTAACATGGTTTGGTCATTGAATGGCAATGTAGAGGCTTCACATTTACTTCCATTGCTCTCTGCAGAGTATACATCATTAAAACCTCCTTGGCTGTGCCTCAATTTATCGTGACTTAACAAGGCACTTAGCCTGGGGGAATAGTCAAAGATAGGTGAATCCTTGTGTATATTATCTTCATTCTCCATTTCATTCAGATCACAGAACCTACTAGTTTTTGATTTCACAATAGGATTCGTTATCAAATTACTTGCAAAGTTTTGAATGTTTTTAGAATACCTACATTCATCTGCATATTCATTTGCTTCAACTTGCCTTTGATTTTCACAGTTTTTAAGTACGTTTTCAGGGTCATGTCTAAGTGTGCTATCTTCTGCATGTTCTGTCTGTGTTAAATATGTTATGGGATCGGGAACACACACATTGGATGAACTGTTAACTTTATGATCAATTGATACAGTATTTGCCAAGTTTTCTGACTGATAAAACTCACTACTGATGACATTTCCCATTTCATGAAATTCTTCATCTGTGGCATGCTTTCTGTTGTCAAGGGTCTCTCTATGTTTGGGTTCTCTCCAATGATGTTTATCAAAACTACTTGGTGAAGCTGTGCATGCATCCTTTTCCTTACTTGGAGGAGTATTAAGAAACATATCAGGGCAGCTTAAGACATCAAGACATTCTTTTCTGGGTGTATCCTCATCACATTCTGCACTACAGCCTTCCAGTAGCATACCAACAGCCTCGTCCAAGTCTCCATCATACAGCAAAAGCCTCTGCCCTGTGTTTGCATCCATATAGCTATTTATCATCAAATAAGACAGAAATAATTTTTTAGTTTTTTCTGAGCTCTGAGTTACCACTGGATCTTCTCCATCAAAAACATCTTCTTCCTGCCTATAATCATGAACTATAGATGGTTGGAATTTACAAAAAGAGAGCCATCTTCTGGCACTTTTACAAGCTTCTAAATCTTCTAAATCTGGCATTTTATCAGGCAGTATTATATTTTTTAAAATCGATGCTGTGTTATTATCTATAATTCCTAGCTGTTTAGCAACATCCAAATCAATGACCTGAGAACTTTCTGGAATATAAAGAGCAGCTATTTTCTGCCTGCCATTCAGGATTTTGTAGGCCAATTCATTTGTAATCAACTCTTGCTGTAAGGAAGAAGATGTGGGGAATATTTCACCAGAGTGGGGCCAAATGAGTCCAACATAGCCTCGCTGAGCCTCCAGTATCAAAAGAGCACTGCTGGAAGTTATTAAATCACACTGGACTGCTTCGTCTACAGTTAAACGTTTGGCAGGGTTTGAGTGGATGATTCCACCTGTTTGAACCTGGTATGTTAGTATGCTGTTGGCAGTGTCTCTGTCAATCACCCCTTCTGCCATAGCTTCTTCGACAGTCATTCTTTGACCAGAGTTGTAACTGATCAGACCTCCAGAAAGAAGCTGTGCACCTAATAACCTAAACATGGTTTCACGGTCTATGAGACCTTCATGAGCTGCCCTTAAAATGCTTATATTTCTTCCACATTTTAATGTTATTCTGCCTCCTTCTTGTGGTCTCACAGGTAGAAGCCACATCCTGGTGTTTTCCTGTAAAATACTTCTTTGCACTATATCTGTTAAAGAAATTTTCTCAGCAGTGCAAGGATCAATAAGATCTTTGCACATATTTTGCCTTTCCAGGATTTTAGAAAATAAGGCTGAGGAAACCAAGTTCTGTTGGAAAGCCTTCTGGAGAGTCAACTGCTCTCCCGAGGCTGGAATAACCAGAAAGCCCGTGGAAAGCAGTATCTCAAGCACTTTGATGGCCATGGATTCTGATATCACACCTTGAGCCAGAGCATCCAGTACTGGAATTGTGGTAGATGACACAGCAGAAATAACCTCCTTAGCTTTATTTAGTTCTTTGAGTTGGCACAGAATTTGTTCATCAATAAGGCCATGACTTTCAGCATCTTTGAGGTCAAAGCATTTTTTTAATTCCGGTGAAATTAGACCAGAAATCATTAGCTGTGTTTCAAGCAACCTGATTCCTGTGTCATAGTCAATGAGACCTCTTAAAACTGCCTGAAAGACTGAAAGGACTTCTCCAGTTGTCTGATCAATGGTACCTGCAATCACTTTATCCAGCTGAAAAGAAAATATAAAAATCCCAGGTCAGTCTGTTACACAAGTGTGGGCAAAGTTTCATGAAACTTAGTTTGCATTTTTTCTTTTGATAAGTAATACACTTCAATATAAAAATCCTCTACTTACCAAAGTGCAGCAATTCAGTGCTGTGAATGTTAGGCAGCTCAAATGCACAAGTGATCTATGTCAGTGATCTATTCAACAGCATAAGATGTGATAAAAGCTTTGAAAACAACATGCATCTGTGAATTGAAAACTTAATATTGTGTACATTAACAAGGTTAGTGAGGACACAGCAGAGTAGATGATGATAGTGAGAAAACAGAACACAAACCTAGAAGGCAAATCATGCTTTCTGCAATTGGGTGAGATTAGAGTCTACTGACATGAAAGAGAGTATCAAACCCCATGCTATTGATGTTTACAGCATACAGACTTCCTCAAAGACAGTCAAAACTAAGGAACCAGAAAAAATGTTACGTACCCCCAATATGCGACAAACTGTGTGAAAAGTATTTCCCATAGTAACAGAATTAAATATAAAGATACCTTTTTGAATATTAAATATTGAGTTGGACATGTTAATATGTACTGTCAAGTTTAAAAAGTTTAAGTACCAGCCAATTTTTAAGTAATTTTTGTTATATTTTAAGAAGATGCAAGGGCATCCTTGTTATAACATATGTCCTTGTGTGAGTCAAATAAGTCTCATGGGCATCTCTGAAAATCAAACAACTTCGAAACACATCAATGTCACCTTCGGTGATGACCCACAGGCTATTTTATAACATCATATTTATATAATAAAAATCCTAAAATAGCAAGTAGAATGGATTTTAAAGAGAAGTTAGAAAAATGAATGATTCTTTTATTTTACCATGCAAGGCAGAGATTATTAAGATATGTCAGACACTGATGATCAGCGTGCGTAAGATTGCATTTAATAAACAACACTGAAACCTCCAAACATTTAAGTAAACTCTATCCAAGTTTTTTCCATGTACAAAATCCAAGGTCATTTATTATTGACATAAATTTCCACAGTCATGCACTAAAACTAAGAATCTTGAAACAGGCTCATGTTTAAATAAATAACATTACCTTCTCCTCTACCTTTACATCTCCTAAGGTTTGTGATTCTTGTAGTTGTTTCAGAGACTCACTAAATAATAAATTATAACCTTCTTGAAGAGTTTTCACTTGTTTTTCCAATTCATTTCTTTCTTCATCTGTCATTCTAAAATAACCAGAAAGTATGAAAAGAGTAATACACGTCCTCAAGGGATAAAGAGGATATATTAGGCTGAATGACTTTGTAAAGTAGAATACTTTTCTAAATAAGCACACAGTCACAAAATAAAATATAGCTCCACATATGGATTGCTCAGGTTTTGGTATGACTGTATATGAAAATTAAGAATGGCTCTAAAAACATCAAGGAGTTTTTCCCTTGCCCAAAAAAGGGACTGAAGGAAAAAGTATTAACTATTATATCAGCACCTCTCTAGCATATACAAATTTCCAAAATAACAACTGCTGTTACCTAAAGAGAGAAAGATCCCATTGTTAGTCCCAACATGAAAGAGGCACAGTAAGCTACTATTCATTACTCAAGATCAAACTTGTTTAAACTGAAGGATAACAAAGAGAAAATTTACAAGGAAATTAACCTGATTCTCTAAGGTACAATATCAAGTCATTCTGAAATAATCCTAAAGGGTACTTCTAAAAAGGGTTTAAGAAAAGGATGGATTCCTTCCTTGTCTGAGGCATTGACTAAAATATATAAAGTGCTTTATTCCAAAAAGTGTAGTACTATGAGAAATTGTTTGCCGTAGGTCTCAGCTAAGAAAATAAAGAACGTATTTCCACATTTTCCACAGAGTAAGTCTCAGTACTACTTAGTGTTAAGACTTGACTTGGAGTCTTAACTCTTCTACTCACTGGCCATTAATTCTTACCCTCTCTCGGCCTGTTTTCTTTTCAGTGATATATGGTGGTAAAAGGTACATTCCAGAGTTGTGATGAAGACTAACAGTGACTAAAGGAGACAATTAACTAAATTTGTGTTATATTATTAAGTAAACTGTGATTAATTTGAGTTCCATTTTTAAAATCTCAAAATTTACCACCTTCTGCTGTGCTGAACATTTTTAAGAACACCTCCTTACTCTGAATAAAAGAGCTAAAGAAAACAACATACTTGTCCCCATGTTTAGCCAAAAAAAGCTGCATGGTTTGAAGTGCTTCAGATAATTGTTCCTTCTTCATTGATATTTCCTCATTGGAAATCTGTAAGGTAAAGAAGGTACATTCAAACTCTCCTCTCAAAAGTACTAGACAGTACTAGTTTTTAAAAACTAATCAAGTTTTAATTAAGACCCAAATGATGGGTCTACTTTCAGAGTGACCTAAGTCAATAACCTGTCAGTTATTAGCAGTCTACAAGCCTGGATAAGAAGAATACTTCATCTAGAATACATAATTAAGGAAAGCTCCTTAATTCCATCATTTTCATGAGGAAATAATACAACATTACGTGATTCTTGCATTTGTCCCAGCCTAACCATGAATGAAGGTGGCCTTAACACCTAGGTGACCAGAGGTGGTTTAGCACCAGCCCAATGCTGTTCTTCAAAAAGTATACAAAAAGATGCATGAATGTTGACCACTACTTCCAAAGAGTCTCTTCCTTCCCCCAAGCTTCTAGGTATAATCCTCCTTTTGAAAAAATTATGATGCAAGTATCAATCTGTAGGTTTGCAGATCAAGATTTCTAATGCTAAGACCCTCCCTTGTAAAAGTCACCTGTGACAGAGAAATAAAACTGGTGTTTGAGGAAAAGCAAAAGGTCTTCTCGCTGGATCTTTTCCCTGATCCCTCACTGTGTCACTTCTGAAAACCTATTTCAGAAACTGCCACTCTTAAATGAACAGAAATGATGGGAAATGGGCCAATGAAAAGATACATTTTTCCCCTGTGTATTCTATTTAGAGTCAATTTAAATTCTATTTCTCATGGTTATAGGCCATATTGACTTTTGAAGGACATACTTATTATTCACATCCAATTACCTGAAACTTTAACAGAGAAACCATCGAGTGTTCTTAGAGAGTTATAATTAAGGCCGCGATCTGCATTTAAAAAATATCTATCTACTTTTACATGTGCTACGTCTAAATCTGACCTAGAATTGTTTGGAGAAGTTAAAAATACAGAATGTGAAAATACCAGAGGTTTATAATCCACGTTTCTCAAAAGAAATTTATTTTTTTAAAAAAGAAGAATAAATTTGTTCTCTCAAGAAATTTTTGCTAAGGCTTATGTCCCTATTTTTGTTGTCCTCCTATTTGATAGGAAAAAAAAAAAGAGAGGGGGGAAGAAGTTATTTTAAATTAACTATTTGCATTAAGTATACTTGGAAGGTTGTTGGTTTAAACACCAAATGTAAATGCTTTCCAACTTCTCATTTCTTCCACACTATATGATATATTGTATGCAAGACTGTGAGCTAATACAGCTTTACTTCAATTGAATATGTCAAGTATATACTCAGGTATGTAAACTTCTCCAAGTGGGAAACCCAAATAAGGTACATTTGCTTCACATTTTAAGTAAAATTAGATAAGACACTGACATTTCCCCCTATTTAATCATGTCAGTAATGTCTGTTACAATTGATGACAAGTGAATACTGATATAGAGCTACAGGGGGGAGCTAAACACTGAGATTAGATGATAGACTCTGAAATTTCCAAATGTCAGGCAGGGGCAGGAAGGATGTGCAGAAAAAATTTTCCTTGAGAAAAAAAAAACTTTTTATCTTGATGGAAATTTATTTTTTAAAAAAATACAGCAGCAATTCCATTGCTATCGCCAGCAGCAGCAATACAATAATTACACTTTACCAATGTCCTAAGAGCTTCAGTGGCATGGTCCAACAGACACCATGGAGCACTAACATGTCAGATTGGCAGTAGCCATCCAACTCATGCGAAGTAGTTGGGATACAGAAGATAGTCCATAGGACTAAAGAATTCACTTGGGTAAGGGAAAGAATCTAGAATTTCTAGTGACTGACTATAGACACTTCCTATGAAACAGAAAGGATCCAGAAAAGCACAGCTGAAGTCAATATTCAAACATGTTAATATCCTAGTTTGTATTTTCACTGTTCTGGGAACTTTTTATGTTTACATCTGTCAGCACGAGACTGCATGACTTTATGATAAGGAGTGCATAGATTTACTTCAGACACAATGACTCCGCTCTTCACAATGTAATTCTCATCACAATCATCAGGAAGCAGGTCTAACTATTGGGAAAAGCAGTACAACATATTAGTTCCCTATAGTAAGGCCAATATATAGAGTTCAGGCTTTGGACAGAGATACCTTCTGCAATATACTAACAGTGATTCCTTGAACAATTTACTTAATCTCTCTGATATGCATTATAACTGCCTATAAAAATGGAGAAAATTAAGGTAAAGAATTCAACATTGTGTTAGGTGGACTGTTATCGACTCAGTAAATTCTACCCATTATTATTATTATTAAACCATGACCTCTGTGAATACCTTTTGCTTAGAGAAGGGAGATTTTCCAGCCTTCTCTCCATCTTTCAATGTCTTGCTGATATTAGATACCCATTTCTGCAATTCTTTGACTTTTTCAACATGCTCTTTCTTTTCTTCTTCCAGTGACTTCTGACAGGTGTGAGTGGTTAAAAAAAAAAAAAAAAAAAAAAAGTGCATTCTAGTAAATGACTGAACAATTAAAGTGGCCTCTCCACAGAAAACAAGAATATAAAAATGTTTTTTCATCACACACAGGTTACTGAGATATTTTATTCATGTTTACCATGTCACATAGCAGATGTACTTCCAAAATGTTTATGGTAGCAAAAAAAGCTGTGACAAACATTCTTTAATGATCAGTCTAACCTCCCAGCTGTTCCATCAATATGACAAATACAAAAACTCAACTTTATTCATGAGGCACTAGAAGATCTTCGAATTGCTGCCTTTGCATTAGCATTACAATCATGATTGTCTTGACAGAAAGGTATGAAACAATGGAAAACTGAAAGAGTAGAGAATGTCTACACACTTATGAAAAATACACGAAATGAAGAAAAATCCTTCCCCCTCCTCTAATACACAATACATTCATAATGTTCATATCCTAGCTTGTATTTTCATTGTTCTTGGAACTTTTTATGTTTACATCTGTCAGCATGAGACTACATAACTTTATGATATGGAGTGTGTAGATTTATTCTGGACAAAAAACAGGATGATTCTTTAATTCCAAAGTCTTAGCTAGAAAGACTGTCGTAGATAAACATTTTAATATGTAAAGAAGGCCCCTATATACAGGAAAATGCAAAACTTTTTCATTTTTTGAAGTAATCTAAAACACTGCAGTTTCACGGATGTGAGAACAAATTTATAACTTTTCTGTGATTCCATGGTGCTTTGTGAAGTTGTCTTTCAGTGACTGCAATGTATCATTTAGTAACTGGGAATGCTGACACCAGGCTGGATTTAGTCAGTGAAGGGAAGTTCTGAAGAAATGATGCTCTGAACTTGTCGGATTCATCAAGCATATTATCCCATATTCTAGGCAAAACATGCTGGTTTTAGTACGGGCAAGGTTCAAAAACTATTCTCAAAGCTAAATGGAACCATGTTAAGGGCAGTAAATCTTTTGTTATTTTCAATTTCAAAATTATTCTCCTCTGAGTAGTCAGCGATTTCCAGCTCTCAAAAAATAAATGGTGCTTTGAGTGTGTTACACAATTCCTCAACTGCATATTTAGTAGACACCATCATGCTCTGGACAGATGGCATGTGCTCTGCACAAAGTTATTTTCAACAGGTCCTATTAGGAAGAATAGTAGAGGCTAGAAATTCCTGTCATCAAGGGTTCAGACACTTCTAACAGCTTAAGTCCTGTGTGGAAATCAAAATCAGCTTTTTCTAAGGCTTCTTTATATGTTAACTTTCTTTTTGTCTGGGGACATATTACATTTCTGACATATGACTTTTGATCTTTGAGTTTTGTAGCAATGAGGACATCTATAATTCCTACTTGGAGAGCTTCTTCGATTGACAACCGAGAGTGAGCCTGTGGTTCTATCAACCCCCCTGTCAAGTACTGAAATTCCAGACATCGGATTCCCATTTCCTTACTGATGATATTTGCATTCACGGCTTCCAGCACTGACATCATTTTGCTAGTGATGGGATGGCCAATCCCTGTGATTACTAATTCACACTGTCGCAGCTGCTGGGCAAAACCCTCATCAACTAGGCCTCTATGCAAAGCTTCTGCCACTCGGTACTTTTTGCCAGTAAGAGGATCGATTATCCCGCCTGTACTGACTTGAGCTTCAAGGCATCTGAGGGCAGTAATCCGATCAACCAAATTTCTACGGGAGGCCTTTAGTACAGAGATCCTTTCCCCACTAGCTGTCAGCCAATACCCTGCGATAGGACTATGCACATCCTTCTTGGGAACTAACCGGCTCAGCAAAGAATCAGCAAGTTCTGTAAGTGTGACATGGCCTTCTTGATACTTTTTGACCAAGGCTTTGTCAAGTGTTCCTTGCTCTATAGCCTCATTAATATTGAACTGTAATCTTGTTTTAGTATCAATCAGCATATGGGAAGGATGCCCGTAGGATTCAAAAAATGTGGCTTCCTTCCACTGATATTGTTGCCCTGATAGTTCAAGATAGATACTTTTTTCGATTAAGTTCCTCTGGAAAGCCTCATATGCAGTCAGTTCTGCTCCTGTTTTAATATCTACTACAGAAATTTTATGAGTTTTCTCTACATTGAGATTGGAAATGTCCCTCTCTCCAAATGGAAAGAGAAAGCACTGGCAGTCCACATCAAATACACACATTTGCAGTAATTCTGAGTAATACAGAGCTTGCTTGTTATTGGGATTAGGAAAAACTCTTGTGTTGCTGGATGGCTCGTGTAAAAATTGTAAGATGGCATTATTTAATAACCCCTGCTGCAGGGCAATTTCGGGAGGAACACGAATGCCTTTGACAGGGTCAATGACGCCCCCAGTAGCAACCTGAGCCTCCAGAATATGTTTACCTTTTTGTCTGTCAAGCATTCTATTTTCCATAGCTTGAAACACTGACAATACCTTAGAAGAACATGAATATCCCAGGGCTGCCTTCTCTGCCTCAAGAAGCCTAATTTTGAATTCAGGGTCAACAACTCCTTTAAGAACTGCATCTTCAACAGAATATGTGTGACCCGAAATGGGGTCGATGATAAAACCTGTTGCAGCCTGAGCTTCTAAAAATGCTAAAGCCATCATTTTGTCTATTATAATCCTCTTGGCTGCTGTGACAAATGAAATCTTTTCTTTTGTAGATTCTAGGTAAAGCCCTGCAATTGAGGTAGCTTTTGTCAAAAACTTGCTAAGAGTTTTCTGAACTTCTTCAACAGTCTTGAGACCAAGTCGCAGCTGCTCAATTGTTCTCATATCCAGAAGCTTAGCTTCAACCAATTGTCTGGCAGTCACAGTGTGCCTGAGCCCTTGAAATTCAAATTCATCTTCCCTAACGGAACATGCACGATCACTATCAAAGTTCTGGAAAGTCTCTGGTTCTAAGCCTTTCTTAAGGAAATCTCCTCTCTTGAGTCCACCAGATGCTCTGCACCCTTCAAGCATCCATTCTTCCGTACTGGAAACTGGGTTCTTCTCTTGTTTTAATGTTGTGACTTCTGTATGCATATCATAGTGCTTGTTCTTAGCTATCTGTAATAGGAATTTATAAGACATTAAAAAGTCACCTAAAGAACATGATGTCATAATACCCACTCTCAATCCAAACATAATTCCTTGAATTAGAAAGATAAGAGAAATGAAGAAAAATTTCAAACCAAAGAGAGTTTAGGAATAAGGAATATGATTTTGAGAGTCTGAAGTTTGCTTTAGATGATAATTAAAGGTATTAAAATGAAAGTTTAAAAAAGACTGAGATGAAATTTGGCTACAGAATATATTAGAAGTTAAAGTTAACTGTTTGGTTCTTCTAGTATTTTTTTACAGTCATATTTTTCAAAATATATTCTCACTACATCTGTGTGTGTTTAATCTCAAACATTCAAAAAATAAAGCATGACAATTTATAACAAGGATTCAGATAAATCACTAGAAAAATTACAGCATTATTCTCTAGTCAGAACTACAAAGAGCCAATCACCCTCAAAACTGTTAAAAATTTAGTCTAGGAGAGAAAGGAAACAAAAGAGGAAATTGACATTAAGTATCTGATTAGGTCTCAGAACACAGAATATACCTCTAAGGGTGTCAAAAGCTTCACCAGTTCCATTTCATATTTGTCATCTTGATACCTAACAGGAGGTCTGGAATTGTGCAGGGTTTGATCTCTTATCTTCTCAATTTCTGACAGTCTTGTAATAGGGTTTGCCTCATCAATAGTTATCTGTAATTCGGTGCTTGTTTGAGAAAAATACTCAGAGTAACACTGCTGGCTTTTCTCTTTCTCGAGTGTTGCCCCTGGTGGCCGAAATTGGACTTCTTTTGGTATTTTCTCAACAACCCGATGTTGCCATTTTTCCTCCAACTGCTGTGGTTCCTGTGTCCATCTCAACATTGGAGACCTGGCCCTTGAGTGAAGATGTCCAGTGCTCCTAGAGGAGAGATCTCCAGAGTGCTGACACTCCTTCACTGTCATCTCAAAATCTGGTTTGGAGGCACAGTCTTTGGCTGTGTTCTTATTCTGAATTTCACACTGGAGCAAAACTAATTGATGCTCATGCTCCTTTATCTGTTGATCCATTTTTTGCTTCAGGTTTTCAACTTCACGTTTCTGGGCTATCAGCTCATCCTCAAGTTTCCGACATTTTTGGTAATGATTTGCTTCCACATGCTGCCCATGTTGCATTTGCTCACGATATTGTTGGAGCTGTCTTTCAAGTTCTTTAATATTTGTTTCACAGAGCTTAGCATTCTCTTGAGCTCTGCAGTTTTCTCGCTGAAGAGACACAAAGTCCAGCTTAATGCCTGAAATATCATTTTCAGTGATGACTTTGGATTCCATTAATTTTTCCATCTTTTTCCGAAACTCCTCTGCTGAACGTTTGAATTTATCAGACTCCTCCTGAAACAGAACCATCTTTCTGTGGGTCATCTGCTCCTCTATGGTCTTCAAGTGCAATTCGTCTTGCACCTTTTTCAACCTGTTATTTAACTCTTGCACCTGAGCTTGTTGTAGCTGAACTTTCTGCTCCCCAAGTCGCTTTTGTTCCTTGGAAGCATTTAGCTCAGCATTCAGATTTCTAACTTCTTTCTCAGTATTCTGGATGATGATGTTCTGTTGGTCACACTTTTGCTTAAATTCACTTACTAAATTTTGACTTTTGGCCAGGTCTTCTTCTAGGCATTTAATTTTTCGCTGGAAATCCTGTTCTGTTTTTGTCTGTTTATGTAAGTGCTCATTTGTGTTGCGCAGCTGATCTTTAAAACCCTCTGCCTGAATTTTCAGTGTTTCACATCTTTGCTGGATAGCTTGTTTTTCTAAAACAACATTTTCTGATTCTGCCTGAATTCTCTGCATCATTAATTTGGTTTCATTATTCTGCCTAGTAAGCTCATCTACTTTTTGTTTCAACATTTCTGCGTGCTCATTACTTTTCCCCAATTCTTCATTAAGCTTTTGGATTTTCTCATTATTTTCTTTTTCAGCTCTAATATTTTGAAGCAACTGCTCGTGGCTTTTCTCAAATTGTTCTTTTAGGTGATCTGATTTTCTCTGGCACATTCGTACTCTTTCGAATTCCTTCTCATCCTGAAAAGAAACAGCTTGTGAATTTAAATCCTGAATATTCCTCTCAGCTATAGCATGTGCCCTAGTGATTCTGTCTACTTCTCTTTGCAGTTTCCCTTTTTCATGATGAAGAGATTCTAATTCTAATTGATAATTATGCTTTATTTTCTTGAGATCATTAGCCTCCTGCATGACTTCTTCAGCTTTATCTGTGGTTTGGTTCAATTGCCTATTAAGTTCTCTGAGTTGCTGAGAATACCTTTCCTCTACCTGATCCTTTCTTTCCAACTCCAACTTAAGGCACTTTAGTGTATTATTTGTTTCATCCAGTTTCTCTTTCAGCAAACGAGCCTTTTCCTCAGATGAAGTTTTCTCAAGCTGGAGGGAGTTAAGCTCATACTGCAGCTCCCTCATGTCTTTTTCAGCCTTCCTGTTAGCCACTGTCAGCTCATCTACCTGCTGTTTGAGTTCTTCTGCTCTCTGTTGGTCATGCTCTTTCTGAAGACCTGCTATTGCTCTGCAGGACGCAGCCTGTGGCAATGCGTTTTCTCTACACAAGTACTGAATTTCAGTTATTTTTCTTCTTGCTTCCAATTCAATTTTCTGCTTCTCTTTCAACTGTTTCTCTGCTACCTGCTTTTGAAAAGCAAGGTCTTTTTCCATCTGTTTTATCAGCTTTAAAAGTTCTTCTTCGTTGTCTCTCTTTCTTCTTAATTCTTCCATTAACTGACTTTTTTGTTGCTCCAAATCATTAAGACTTGAATCTTTTCTTTTAAGATGATCCTCCAGTGTTCTCCTTGTAAAGGTGTTTTCCTCTAACTGATTCCGAAAATTCAGGAGGTTTTCCTCCACAGCCGCTCTTTTGGCCTCAGCCTCCATAGTGAGCTGCCTCACCCGCTCCAGTTCCCGTTCCGCAGCTTCCTTCTCCCTCACGATGGTCTCGAGCTCCCTGCGGTACTGCTTGGCTTCGCTTTCAGCCCTTAACTTCTGCAGAGCGATGTCTTCCACATTTCTCTGCTGCTTTCTCAATTCATTTTCCGCAGCCTCCTTGACCTTTGGAAGTTCTTCCTCTACTCGGGACTTTTGTTTCTTTAGTTCGGCTACCATTTTTTCCAGTTCACTTATCTTTCCTGTAAGTTTGCTATTCTCAATCATTGTTGCCTTCTGACGCTGAAGCAGATCTGAATACGCCCCATGTTCAGAAGTCTCCTTACACCTTTTAATCTACAAGAGATGTTTTGAAAGTGTCAAACCCATTCTATTCAAGTTTATCCTACAAAATCTGAAGCAATGTTCATAAAAGTACTTACAAAACCAAGTGAACCCAAATGCAGAACAAGCACCATCACCACTACCACCAGCAGCATCACCTTCTTCAGAGAGGAAGCTTCAGAAAGTCAGCAGAAGACAGAATACCCTTCATGACAGGTTTTCTGAAGAATCTTTCTTTGTCTCTCAGGAATAATTTTATTTTAAAAATTAGCTAGCTCAGATTGTTATAGAAAGAAGAGACCTTACAAAACATACAGCACAACCCCAACCTTTTACAGATAAGGAAATTGAGATACAGGGAGATTAAGTTTGCAACCTCGCACAATGGGTGAGTGACAAGCAGGAACTGGCACTCTCACAACAGTGCACTTTCTGCTCTTGCACGTGACTTAGTCCTACAAGCCAAGAAGAAAATACAGCATATGGGATCTGAATGATACCAAAAAATGTAGTTTTCAACATCCAGCCTGATGGAAATGTAAAATGACACTTACATTCCCATGTTTTATGGTTAAAGAAACAAAACACAGAACTTTAGAACAGAGAGCCAAACTGGAAAATAATACTCAACAAGAGAAAGGAGGAAAATTATATAAAAACTTGAAACTTCTAAAGTCAAATTCCTTACTTATCTATACTTGCCATATTGTCACAATTATAATCAGAACTGCTAATGCAAAGGCAGCTATAGTCCCTACTGGCTTTAGAAAAGATGTGCTTCATATACTCACACATTTTGCTGTTGTTGTTAATGACATGCCTCATGTGAATCCACCTTGACAAGTACCTTTAGATACTCCATAAATATAAAGATATTTGTTAAATATAAATGCTTTTTAAAGTATACTTAGGGATTTAGCTCCAATTTATAGAACAAGATATAAGAAAACCTTTTTACTCTACTGATGATAGAATCAATCTCAGCTGGGAGGAATACAGTTTACATTGACTATAGAACTACATGATTGGGGTTAGTTTATAATCACAACTTAATTTCTCTTTATTAATACCATAATGTTGTTAGTTTCATATCATCAACTGGAAATTACCACAATTAGAGACAATTTAAACAGGAGTAGAGATTATTTTAGATAGCAGATTTGTTTTCATTGAGAAGTTTTGGGGAATTTTAAGATTTAATTTTTATTATAGACCATACATCTTATTTTGCTTCCTGTAATTTCTTGATCCCCAATAATTTTGATGAGAATTTCAGTTGTTTCCTGTGCTTGCCTAAATATGTCTCTTAGTAAGAATTTCCATAGAAACAGGTCTCATCACAATCTGCTATGCTCATTGCTCTATTTTTTGACTTTGGTATCAGTGTCAATTCTTAGTGGTTCTGAAGCATTTTACCTATTTAAATATTAAGTTTTCAATATTTTTTGAATAGATTATTTCTAAGAGTGTCTTTTTCTCAGTTCCTTATCAAATGTCTTTTAAAACTTAGCTATTGCTAAGGAGTTTTGAGCCTTTTTTTCCTTGGTCATGTTCTGAGGTTTAAGAAAATGAAAACTCCCTCAGAAAAAAATGTCTGTTGTTGAACCCTCAGTACCTTAATTAGAGTCATTTTAGTGATTTGTTAATAATCTCATGTTGTCTGGATAACTCTGAAATTTTTAGTGAATACTAGAAAAATTAGGAATACTTTAGTCCAATGCTGATTTGCTTTCTTATATATCTCAAACTTATTCATATAAAAGTAACTTCCTCAGGTTTTCTCTAAATTTTCCCCAGTGCTTAATATTTAATGTATTTTGCTCTCTCAGTGATTAATATTTAATGTATTTTTCTCTCAACATAGACTAAAGAATCTCTTTATCACATCTAATATCCATTACAGATATTCTACTAATATTTCTCTAACTAATTTGGTACTTCTGAAATTAACTTTCGTCTATCTTTGGTTTTATGTTTATTATAGAAAAATTATGCTCTCAGACCAAGGTTTATCATGTGGGTCTTCGAAACTCAGTTTCTTTTGAGTCTAAAAACTGAGCTATATAACTTTTCCAAGACATTCCATTAATATGTTACTTAAGTAGTGATTTTCTTATCTATTTTAAATTATAGTCTTTGCATATTCTTCCATAACTATATTGTTCTGATTTTCAATTCACTATAAATTTTTGACATTTCAGAGGAAGACAATAATAATTTGTATATATTTTAGGCCTTTTGAAATGTTTTTTCTTTCTATCAACTTCTAGTATGCTGCATCATCAGATAATTTCAGCAAAGTGGCCCATATAGGTATAATGAGATATACACTCTAAGAAAGGAAAAGAACTTAAATTATTTTAGTTTACATTTAACTACTTTATATACAATTTAAAAGATCTACATACCATTTAAAATGAAGTAAGATCTCTCAAAAACTAAAAATGTTAAAAAATTATGGATGTTCTTTCATAGATGAGAGGTGCATGACCAATTATTAAAATGGTCACAAATATTCCAGTTTTCCTTTCTAAGTACAAAAAGAAGCTGGTTATAAAGTTTTGCAGTCAGCTATGTTAGTGATTTAGTTGCAGAAAACTGTTAACTCTGAACAGACTAAAATAGTTTACAAAAGCAGTCACATTTTTAGAAACTAAGAAAGTAACTAGTAGATTGTTTGGGTTCTCTCATATAAAAAGAGTTACACCACATATAATAACCTTCAGAATTTCAACAGTCCAATTTAAAATGGTTAAATACCCCACAATTCACCATTCAGTCTACTATTTTTGTCTGTTCTGATGTTAGAAATAGAAAGCATATATTAAGATAATAGAGCATAGAATAATCCCTTCAAGATAAGATACAGTGTAGCCTTTATGACAATTCATTTTTATAAGTAATTCCCTATTTTTCCTATTTCTGAATATAATTTTTAAATGCAGAGTCAAAGCTGCAAAAGTCCTCCAAGTCAGAATGGTACTTTTTTTTTTTTTTAAACCATGCACCATATCTTTTTGTCAAAAACAAAAATTCTTTAAAAGTAGCATTGTTTTGTAGAAACACCTACTGCTTCTAAGTTAATGTTTTTTTAGTATATTTATTAATTATAATAATTTTAATGCCCTGAAGATGTAAATTAATTTAAAATGCATAATGCAAATGTGTTCATGTAGATTTTCTGTTAACATCATAACAGCAGTAACTATACTTCGAAGAAGTATACTTCTCAGGTGCGGGTAAGCTAAAAAAAATTCTGCCAAACTGTAAATGTTTCATAATTTAAATAGAAACACTTGGGACATTAACCCTATCATATTAGACACCTGAAGTGAAATTTTCAAATGCTTTTATATTTGAGAGAATCTTAAGAACCAACAAAAATCCTAGGCCTTCACTAATTTTCATTGTAATTTTATAACTAAATTATTGCTTGTATATTAGCTATCAGCCACGTAATTTATCATGAAATCTTTTTTGCTCTCCCAAACACACTGTAGTTCATGCTCATGTCTAGTTCCTTTTCATTTAGCTGTTCACTGTTAATGTTTACCTCCTCCTCTTCCAGCCTCTTCAATGAATCACCAGCAAATTTAATATATTGTGTCATGAGAGTGACTAGAGCAGTGTACCGAGTCCGTAGGTCCATGAACTACAAGTAAGAAAAAAAAAAATAAAAACATAACTTCCAGTTGCCCTTAAAAAGTTGAATGAACTCTGAGGAATAGTTACAATATTAACTAGGTTTTGGAACAGTGAAGCACTTAACTCCCCAGTAATAAATGGTAACTTGGTAGAAATGAGCTTGTAACTGTCATGCAAACCATTCTAAAGGACAAGTTTCTTCTACATTTAATCATGAAGTGCATTTATTTATCTCTGCAGTTAATAACTGATCTTGAATAAAGAAAAGTGTTTTAAAAAACTTTAAAGAAAATGTATTGTTATGGGTATAGACTCTTTGTTTGGGATAATAAAGAAATTCTGGAAATGAATAGTAGTGACGGTTCAGCAACAACAGTGTGGTATACTGAATGCCATTACACTGTACATTTAAAAATGGTTAAAATGGTAAATTTTATATCCTGTATATTTTACCACAATAAAATAAATAAATTTATTTTATAAAGTGTGGTTTCCATCTTTTACACCCCTTCCCCTCTCTCTCACACTTTTATTACCTCTTGAATAATGAGATCTGCTGAGCTCTGCATTCTTTGGCGTTTCACTGGAGATTTTTGTTGTGAATCTACCATGGCCCGGTATGTCATTGTTTGTAATTCATAGTCCTGTATAAAGGAGTCAATAATATAAAATTAATTAAAGCAGAGTGTCAAGGTTTCATTCTATAGTGATTCAATGCAGAGAATTTGAAGCTAGTTTTACTGAATTAACTTTAAATAAAGAAAATATTGCAAAAGTACATTTTAGGAATCTATCCAATCCTGCAGATGCTTCCAAGATGGTGATAAAATCAGAAAAAATGCAGGGTGATCAGGACAGTACCCAAGTCTCTTTGGAAGCTCATGAAAACATTTATTACCATATTCTAGTTATATTCAGCTTCCCTTTCCTCCAGCTAGGCAATGGAATGTGGGTCTGGAAGGCTAAAGCTGAGAAATAGTCAATGAACTTGAAAAGCATGAGAAATGTCCCCTACATTAGAGAGTTCAAAGTTCTCCCATAGAATACTCTAGCAATGTTAAAAAGAGGGAGAGAGAGGGAGAAAAAGAGAGAGAGACAGAGAGAGAAGTGATTAAGAAACCAATTTCAGAGCTATGTATTTATTCTGCTGTGTGGGTGTGTGTGTGCACGCACATGGTCATGTGCTCATGCACATACGTGTGACAGAAAAAAAGAATAAATGAACAAATCGGGGCTGTCATGTGACTCAGACTTCACAAATAATTATTATGTAAGTGTCAAAAATGTTCAAATGAGAATCCTCTTTTTGCTTTTTAGCAGAGTAAAATGACTTGCATAGCTTTAAAAATACATTGTAGGATCACATATCCTAATATTAAATTTGACTCAAGTATCGAACCCTCTTACCTTCACTGTAGCTGAGTACTGTTCTGCATATTTTTGACACTCATCCATTTTACTCTGTTTCATTTCTATTTCGGACACCAGCATCTATAAGTACACACAGTTTAGAAGAAAAGGACAAGAAACTCTATGCTGTTCTACTACTTAAGGTCCTCAGAAACTAAGAAATATCAGCATCACTTAACAGTATAGCTCCATAGCCCTTTGCACTTCATATGCGACTTGTCTTAAGGGTAAATTACAAACTTCCAGATTAAGCCACATAAGTGACCTACACTTACAGGGCTTCCAAAGCAGAAATTAAACTCCAAAGGAATTATCCTAAAGCAGACTTGATGAGCTTGGCCACCACTTATTCCTGATGAAAACAGAGCCAGAAATTACTGGCCTCTAAAGATGGAACAAAAATCTCAAAGCATCCGACTTTCTGTCAGATGTGACTATTCAATTTTCTACCACTAACCATGTTTATTTATTAAGAACCCACAAAACTATTGCGGCCAGCAGAGTACCAAAGAGATTTCCATGCCTACAACTAAATGATCATTAGGAATTTGAAAACTATCCCAACCTGCTACTTTAATTTTACCTACGTTTTCATAAGTGACTTCCAAGAAATCAAAATAAGTGATGTATATAGGTTTGGGTTGCAGGCTTTTAATATTTATAATACTCCCTACCTTTCTCTAAATAGTTGCTGACTTTTTCTCTTTACATAGGAAAAGAAGATAAGGATCATGACTGACCAAATGCGGACACGACCTCAGTACAAGTAATTGTTTTTACATACCTTTTGTTGATTTAACTGTGTGGCTAGGGTTTTACTATTTTCAGGCTGATTTTCTTGAATCTTTCTCTGAGTAGTCTCAACCTGCTGGATCCAATCATCTAAAGGATGATAGGTATCTCTGTAGTACTTCAGTGATTTCCCAATACCCTCTAAGTCCCGTAACCTAAAAGAATGGTAACAGGATAGTTGCCAATGGTATCATTAGAAGAGTGGAAGGTATAGAGCAGGAAAAGACAAAATAGCTGTACTACAAAGCCCTAAGCACAACAACAGGGGTATATGTAAAGAATTCAAGGCTGCAACCCTGAAGCATACCTCCAAGGGCACTCCATATTGGCTTTTGATTGAATATAAACATTTTGCTCCTGGAGTTGGTAATTCAGTGGTACTGATTATTCTACAGACAAGCCCAAGAGACTAAAGCTAAAAAGCAGAAAAATTGGAAACTTGACGCTAATTATTATCAATCAGGATATCTTGAAGAGCCAAGACTTACACTGAATGGCAGTTCACTTTCGAAATAATAAGTTAGTTCAATGAATGCTTCAACATGGTCCCAGAGAGTAGTTTCCGGGAGCTGTGATTAAACACCTGTTTCTATGATTTTAAAACCACCACATTAAACCTATCTATCACATATTTTACAGAGATGAGATAATATATAGTTGAACATAATTTTACTTCTCAAGAATGGCACTATATCACAGCATTTTATTTGCATTAATATAAACATGAAAATGAATGAGACAAGACACAAATCCATTTCTTTTAAGATGAGTCCTAAAACCATCCCATTTCCTTTCACTTTTTAATCCAGTCACTGAATGGATGATTTTGACTTTCTTATATTTTCATTTATAACGAATATCAGGTCATTTTAATTTCTTTACACTGTTTAGGTCTAGTATAGATTGCTACATACAGCCCTATCAAATGCATGACTCATGCTCTTACTAAGTCATGGTTATTTGAATATAATAAATTGGTAATAATTAGAGAACTAGACTGCTTTTTCCTTCAAAAAAGGCAAGTAGATGAACTATACAAATGCCAGAATATATCCATAGTTTTAATAATACAGTTTAAAAATGCTTATCGTGAAGTTAGATGTCTTGTAAAGTCCACTATGTAAGAAAGAAATATGATTAGAACTCTTGCAGCTAATACAATTAACTATTGAAGTAAAAAAATAACAGGCTAATAAGTTTAGATTTTCCGAGCATATACAGTAAGACATTAAATCTGTGTTAAAACTGAACAAAAAAGTATACTAACCTGTTGTCAATCTGCACATGAATATTTTGCCACCTTTCCACTAATTGATCTGCTTTTTCTTTATGCCAGTCAAAATCAAGGTCTCGTTCTTTATATGTTTTAAACATTTCATCACTGATGGCTTTAGCTTTCTGCAGCTCATCCTCTAATGCATGGAATACCTCTCTCTTTTCATCTACTTCACATCGCCATTGCTAAAATATATTAAGTGGGGAAAGTTATAAAAAATGTGTCAACCACTCACTGGGAAAACACATTATTTACCAAATTTTACCACTTATTTGCAAATGACTGATAAAATCGGATTAAATATTGGGTTGAACCTTATGAAATGGCCAATATTTGACTATATTTTGATCTTAAAAAAATGACAATTTTATAAAATTCAGCCTAATAGAATTTGCATATCAATAAAATATATTTCATAAGTATGTTTGCTACCTTGATAAAAATTAAGTCTTTGTCATTGTTCATTTTTAAATGCCCATGATCCTATTGTTAAAAAATGAATACACATATTAAAAATCACTGATCAACTTTTCACAATTGCTTTCCAATAGTTTTCTGAAGTGCTTTATATTTAGAAATATAGATACAGATGAGTACAACAACCGATCTTTTTCCTTTCTTAGATTAACTCCATTTATCTCCTTGATATCTTAAAATAACTGCCCCTTTTATCTAGTGACTCTACGACAAACAATTTAACTTTCAGCTTTAACTTCTCTTGCTGCCAGCATGAATTGACTATAATTACCTATTGTCAAAAAGGTTCAAACTTCAAACGAGAAGAACTCTCTCAAACTAAAATTATTGAACATACTTATATACAGTAAGTTGTGGAATTATAAAGATACAAAATGGAATGGATACATTCAAAGTAAGATATTTAATGCTTGATGTTTGAAGATCTCAACTAAGTGCTAGAAAAATACTTGCAGAGTATGATGATGAAAACCAGCCAAAAATCAGATTCATACCTTTAAAGTACTTATTAGATTCTCAATATTATTCTTCTCAGCTATAACTGCTTCTTCTTCACACAGTTTAGTTTCATAGAGTTTTACAAGGGCTTCTGCAGCTTGAGTGTTTTTTAACACCAAATTAACAGTTTTCAACCTTAAAAAGGGAATTAAACAATAGCCAGCTATTTTCAAATGCTTTTGCTTTGTTTTCTTTTGTTTTGCATAATGCAATCCTGAAGCACAATTATGACACATGACATAGCATATTCTTTATTTTGGAAGACTGACACATTTACTGTAAGATCAGATTCAGCTGACTCTCTTCTTAATGGACAGCATGAGCTTCAACCAATACCCTGTCCCACAAGTGGTATTTAGCAAGAAATTCCAACATAAGACGATTTCTTTCTAACCTTGTTTAGGCCAAGCATGAGAAGAAAATCCTGTAGGCTACAACAGCTGAGCTACCAAAAACTGACATGGAAAATATGGGAAGATAATACATTATGCACTGATTTCTGAGGCACATCCCCTTTCAACATGGAGAAGTGTCATAAATCCACAGAAATATTTAATGTATTTCTTAAGGCAAAATAAAACTAAACATATTAATAAAAGTAAATTTTTTAAATTCGCAACATAAGAAAATGATAGTTGTATAGAGCAAAATATATATTAAAGTAGCAGTTACATACTTATCTATGTAAGTGGAAGACATAGAATAGACTTGGTTCATGTTCTGAACAACCACACTGAGCTCAGATCGTAAGGTAGGAACTGATGGAGAGGCTGCTGCTTGACTGAAAAAATCTTCACATTTATTTGTGATCGTTCCCAAATCATCTTTAAGTCGTTCCAGTTCTTTCTTTAGTTTCTATAAAACAGACAACAAACATTAGGTATTAGGTGATCACCCCAGATGGGGTATTTTTCTTAAAACGGTTTAAAAACACACATTTTACACTATGATCATTGCCTTAAAAATCTACATTCTTGTATTTTTACTTTTCCTAAGCCATGATATTCAAGTTTTATAATCAATAATTCCCTTGCTGCCCAGCTCTTTGGACTCAAACATCTAACTTACTGTTTTTGCATACAGCAGGTTCATAGCGACTTTCACTATAAGAAGCCCTTATAGGCTCCATCATGATAGGTGAGGGGGTACATGTTCCTGGGTCTACCTGAGTCAATAGTAGAATTGAAGTACAGAATCCTAATTTACAAGCAACAATAAACACATAATCAGACCTCACGAAGTGACCAGTATGCAAAGTTGAACATTGAAGAAGTCACAGGAGTTGACACCCAAGAGTGTCATCAAGAGAGTAATTTACCTTAATTATTTTCCCAACACATTTATACTCTCACCTCCTGCTCTGTGATTCTGAAAACACTTTCATGCAAATCATCTCTTTCCAGGGGAGTTCTGATCTGTCTAATCAACCGATCTTCACAGTTCTCTAACCGAAGTCTAATGTTTCGAACTTCAGAGATGTAGAGATTATAAACTGATTCCTCTTGCTCCTCTGTAAAAATAAATATAATGTTTAGAAAATACCTTGTTTTCTATCATGTTTTAATATGGCAGTTTTACTATTACTGAGATATAGCTAGTCAAACTAACAGTTCCTATTATCATCACAAACCCACTTGAAAAATATAAATCTTAAAATATAGGGGGTAGGGGGTGAGGTTAGTGAGAAATTGGTAACGGGTCACAAAAAATGATTACATTGTATAATGATAAATATAGTAATAAAAAAAAGACTGGGGATGTTTTAAAGTGTATTCCTGCCTCAGAAAAAAAAAATTATGAAAAATGGGTAGCTAGCTATGAAGAAAATATACAAGCAGTTAGATTCTTCCCTCACATTTTACATCAGAATAAATTTCAGGAAAAAATAAAATAAAATAAATCTTAAAATATAAATCTTAAAATTTAAGAAGAGTTATTAAAAGTTCCCTAATGCTATTTGAAGTACTAATTTTTTATTTATGATATCCAAAGAAAGTAATATATTGCTCTGTTTTATGTTCACAGAAGAGTACATTAGTTGCAATTAATTATAAAAATTAAATTTAAAACCTTCATAGTAAAAAATAGATAAAGAATATGTTGATGCTTAAGACTTAAAAAGAAAATATTCATAATAAAACTGTCTCTAAGTAATGTCAAAAGAGTTCAGAATAAAATTCATATTTAATATAAGTTAACTAAACAAAACATTTTACTTTAATGCCTTTGTAAAACCTAAGTTTGATACATGCAAAAATAATTGAATCTTTTCTGAAACTTAAGGATCACCATCCTGAACATCACAGTGCAACATATTGAAAATGTTAAAAAGTAGATGCAGTAAGAATTCATCATTTGTCATACTATTTGGTTGGCATCTCTTTGTTAATTCATTGTTTGGAAATAAATGAATCCCTCTTTGCATCTTCCTACCTCAAACATGCTGTTAACATTCCAGAGATTGTGTCTATGTATCATAGACTAAGTGGCATAATACATCGAACAGTGAGATTTCCACTGAGAGCAGAAAAAAGCCAGAACTAAACACCTACAGGGAAAAAGACTGTAATTCCCATGTTTTACCTCTTTCTGCAGACTTAAGAAGTTCCTGATAATACTGCTTACATACATTAACCTCCTTTTCCAGTTGCACTATATCTGAGCCTGAAAATATTTGGGATTCCTGGCTATCTTCCAGAAAGTCTTCAAAACGAGACTGTAGATTACTCAGAACTTGTTGATGTTCACCAGGTAACATTGTCTTTATCTAAAGAAAACCAAAGACCCATGTAATTAAGTGATTATAGTACTAAGAGTTAAACTTGAATGGGACAGATAGATATCAAGTTGGTCTCATGGTATATGCCAGTTTACAATAAGTCATAAGCAAAAGAACCATTTAAAATTAATTTTCTTTTTCATTAACAATTTCAGGTTTTAAAGGCAAGGAAAAACAAATCTATAAATTTCAATAAGTGAAATTGAACTATATACACATCTTTCTAAGTCCAAAACACTATACCCTGTCTCTCTATCTCCTAGTAAGCACTGAATGAAATCTTTGATCCCCAGATTTCCCGAATTCTTAGAATGTACCTTGTATATGGCAGGTATATAATAAATAAATATTCACTAAATGAATAAATATTAGCATGGATCTGCTGAGTTCCATTCCATTCTAGAATAAAACAAAATTCACCCCACTCATAACAAGGTGTTCCATTCATGACAAGGTGGGCATATCAAGTTGACATGTAGGTTTTTACTTACTGAAGCCACATTGCTAGCTCGAATTCTATCAATTTCATTGATAAGATAATGCCAGGATACTACACTCTTCATGTTTATGTGAGACTCATGCCAAAGAGTCAGCACATTCTGATACTGCTGCTCAATTCTATGAAAGAAAACACAAATTAAGCCTTTTTACTCCCTCTGAAAACAAGCCACAATTTTTTTTTGTTTGTTTGTGGAATATCCTATGTTTACTAGTTCTAGAGACTTCTGATCCTATGGGGCCTTGACAAAGGATTAATTGTTTCTTTTTAACCTTCTGAGAGCTCCCCAAACCAGCTCTATATTTTTAGCTAATGTGTACAAACCTGTTTGCAAAGTCAACTGCTTCTTTGTTTGGTGGAGGAACGGTGAAGCACACAGATGGGACCATGGCCTCATTCCCAGTAGGACTAATGACCTTCCATTTAGCACGATGAGAGTTGTTCGCCAAAACACATTCATCGTCTTTGTAAATGGTTATCTGGTTTTAAATGAAGAATAGAATGATTAAATGAGGTCACTGTTAACTAACCTTTTTCCATACTCAATCTTGGGATTATTTTGTTCTATGAGGTAGAAAAACTTTACCACTCATAAGCAATATAATCTCATTGAAAAAAAATATGAACAATGACAGACACTAGTTTGTTTCTGGAAGTTATAAGTACCTCAATTTGTCTGTAGTCACAGATAGCTTTGATTGGAATAGAAGTTTTGAGTGCACTGTCAGAATTCCTTGGCTTCAGCTGAATTATTGTTTTCGCTCTTCCCACCAGGCTTGCTACTGTGCTTTTGTACTGCAGAAGTTCTTCTTTCTCTTCCTAAATAATAAATATGATGGATCTTAAAAAGTGAAAGACTTGTACTCTCCATTCCTTCAGAGCTTTATACAGATGAAACTTCACAGTCTAAACTTTCAATCCCTCCCCACTTCCTCTTATATCCCTCTTCCCCTATTTTGTTTGTTTGGGTTTGGTTGGGTTTTTTCTTTTGTAGTACTTACTACTATCTAACACTCTACACATATTTTACTTATTTATCATGTTTATTGTCTAGCTCTCTGTCTAGAATGTAAGCACCATGAGGGTAGAGATTCTTTTCTGTTTTGTTCACTGCTGTATTTCTAGGACCTAAAACAGCACCCAGGATATAGAAAGTGCTTAACAAGTATTTGTGGAATGAATGGCTAAACACATGCACACACATACACACGCACAAACATAACACTGTTAAAGCATTTTAAAATATCAAGGCTATCACATGAAAAACACTTCTGTTGTATTTGTTCCAAAAAATACTAACACTGAATGTGTAAGTGCTTAATTGAATGTGGTGGAAATATCAAGAGCATCAATAAAATATAAAGTTCTATACATATAAAAATATAATAAAATACTAGTCTAATCACTATCATACATTACTGATGAAATGCATAGGTTTTTGTATTAATACCATTGATTCCTGAACAAGGTCTTCCAGCTTGTGAATGCTGCTTGATCTATCACAGCTGTACTTCCGCTGAATGGCATCCTTTAGATTCCTTAAGTAATCAGTAGCTTCTTTGGCATCATTGAAAAACTAAGGAAAGATGAAACCTGGCAGTTAAAGAATGTTAAATGCCTGTAAAGTACAGAGTTGTCAAGTTCGGGTACCAGGGCCCATTGTGTCCCCCTCATAAGTGAGAAGAGAAGCACAAGACAACTTCATAGCCACATCCTTCCTTGAACCAAACAACAACCCTTGAACTTGGATGGTTATGAATGCTTAGTGTTCAAAGTTTATGAGCATACTATGCTTTGGTTCTATATAATTTTGATCAGTCTGTTTTACTTTAGGGCCCAAACAATTTTTAAGTAGAAGTGAAATTCCAAAAATAAAACTTCTTAAGAATAAAACAAAGAGCTCATTTGGCTGACTCTCTATTATGAAAACATTTTCTTAATAAGACACATATTTGTAGAACAAATTTTTCTGATATTTTAAGGGTTTTTTACAAGATTTCTTCCTTAATAGAATGCTTCAACCTATCCCATAGGACATGAAACACACACTTATATCCTACAAAGAAAACATGTCCATTTATTTCTCCTGCATATTGCATATATGTTTATATATCTTAAAACTAAGTCATAAAGAAAATTTCTGCAAGTCAGCCCAAATCACAATACCATCTATTAAAGTTGTGTTTCCATTCACATACCTCAAAATAGGCAGTGTTCTCTTTTATGTGCTGCTCCACACACTGGCAGAGCTGTAAGATCCAGCTCCACTGCGTCTGCATTGCCGCTCTGTAGGCCTTAAAGATAAAACACAGCCATCGTAACTGGCTGGAGAGAAATAAGGGACGCATACACACTGATGCTTTTAAATGATAAAATACTCTACCTAAATTGACGATGAAATTTTTTAACAGAATAAGACTTAAAAATCAGGCAGTAAAATGTCCTTCACATCTAACAGCTCTCACTCGCACAAAGTCAGTCCTAAAGTTTAAATATAAATTTTTTAATCAGTCCAGTTGATTTCTTTCAAACTTTAAACTTAGTGAAATTTCATCTTAAAATACAAGGAAAAAATTAACTCTCGCTACGTTCACATTAAAGAATATTTAACATTCAAAATAAATGCAAGCTATCCCTCTTATTTAGAAAAGCCACCCTCTACTCCTTTGCCATCAACTTTTACACCTGCTTTTTAAAATCCTCAGATATGTTTTCCTTCATAACACTTTCATGTTTCCTTTCTCTGAATTTTCATATTACTGGATCATAAAATATACCTTCTAACACAGAAATACATGGTTCTGCAGTTTTTGTTTTTGTTGGGGAAAGGTTTGGGGAAGGTGGAAAGGGAGGGTGTGCTCTCCTATCAGTTTAATCATAATAATTATAATACTAGTAGTTTTATAAATATATTTATTTATATGAACTTTTATTTACTACAGAGTATATCTTTCATGAGGGCAAAAAATATTTTAGAAATGATATACCTACTTCTTTAAGGAAACAAAACACCCTTTCATATTGAAGGTACAATTTTCTGACCTCCAGAAGAGGGCACTCTATATGCTCTAATGACTATTTTAAGCAAGCATGTCATTTTTCCTCCTTTTGGAAAAATTCATTCCTGCTGAGTTATGCTCAGGCAGGCTTTCTGAACAGAATGTACAATGCAGCGTTGGAAATCTGGCAACATACCATGGTCACATTACCTGCTCCCTCAAAATAAGCTACTTTGAGTAAATTAGCTATAAAAGACTCTAACGTTGTGCATTGTTAGATTCTAGTTTCTTTTTCCTATGAAATAAGAAATTGCGTTGATAACTAGCTAAATACTATCCATTAAACAAGATATGATAGGCCAATGGGATCATAAATATGACTAAAGGTTCATTTTACCCTTTAATAAACTTTTAATTAGATTATCATTTCTACATAAAAGTAATCAGATTCACATTCACATTTTCTATTCCCATCAAAATTCTTAACCTATAATCATATTTCCTAACAGCTTTCCCCTCGCTGAAGAAATACTCTGGTTTATTATAGTACAAAAGTATATCCAAATCCCCCATTACTCTAACTTCCTTTCTCTAGTGGTCCCCCTACTCTTTTATGTCTTTAACATTCCTTTGTGGCATTTCATGGGGATAAAAAACCATATTTTATACGAAAGGAGGTCAAATATAAGATTCCCAAGACTTTCTAATGAGGCCCAGAATTTTACTCATCTTTGTGTGTCATTGTGATTTCAGTGAACAAAGACTATCAGATTCCTTTCCTCGACTGTGAGTTTGAAGCACGTCACCTTTTATGTAGAGCAACATTTTTTTTCCTCTGAAAATATACCACATCTGTTTAATGTTCCCTGCCCTCTTATGTAATCACCCTTCACATGCAGAAAGTCACTAACTCTGTCTAGTACATATCAGGCCTAAAAATTAAAAACACCACCTCTGCCATAACTGCACAGGCAACCTGATAAATCCCATGTCAGTCCTTCACTTCTGTATAATTTGAAATGTTCACTCCACACTATGAGGACTTGCCAGGATGCTGTCCCAATATACCTCACAAAACTAGACCATAAATTCAATTATTAAAATAAATCATAACAGCTGATATTTCTTGAGAAAATACTATGAACCAAGAACTGTACTAAGCAGTAAAAGTAAATTATTTCTTCTCATTTTCACCACAATTCTTGATTAAAAGCATTTCCCCCATTTTTGGTAGGGAAATGAGGCTTAGCAAGAAGGTGTCAGTCACACAATGTCACACAGTCTGGAAGAAATAAAATATCAAAGCCCGTAAAGACAAGGTCATTCATATTTACGGTAATATATCTCCTCTGCCACAAGGGTTGACAAAGATACCTTTATTCTAAGTGATGAGTGACACACTTAGAGCAAGAGAACTAAAGATAAGAACCAGTATGACTTTTTCAGAAACTAGTTTTGAGCCAGGTTGTAATAAAAGTTTAATAGTTTATATTTTTCAATTTGTCAGCAATGAAAGAATCTGAAGGGTAATAATCACATGTCAATCTTCAACCAAGACTGTTGGACTTTCTGACTTACCTCAATAGTTAACCGAGCTGGGTGATTTTCTAGGCACAATGTCACACAGTCAGGAAGAAATAAAATATCAAAGCCCGTAAAGACAAGGTCATTCATATTTATGGTAATATATCTCCTCTGCCACAAGGGTTGACAAAGATACCTTTATTCTAAGTGATGAGTGACACACTTAGAGCAAGAGAACTAAAGACAAGAACCAGTATGATTTTTTCAGAAACTAGTTTTGAGCCAGGTTGTAATAAAAGTTTAATAGTTTATATTTTTCAATTTGTCAGCAATGAAAGAATCTGAAGGGTAATAATCACATGTCAATCTTCAACCAAGACTGTTGGACTTTCTGACTTACCTCAATAGTTAACCGAGCTGGGTGATTTTCTAGAAGTAGCTGCTCTGCCATCTCCTGAACTGATTTAATATTTTCTTCCTTTTGATCAAGTTCTCTCATTAATTCCTAATTTAAAAAAGAATTAAGAAGTGTTTTAGAAAAAGACCCAACCCTGAACTACAACTTTTGTGTGCATGTACAAAAGTTATACTTACAGCATGATAATCTTTTTTCCGAGCTATGTTGGTATTTCTCTCACTCCAGTCATAAGCAACTTCCTCCTCTTCTTTTTCATTCAACCAAATAAGTTCATTAGTTGCACGAGTTACAAAATTATGAAGTGTATCAAGGTGCCGCTCCTGATTCCTGGATGTATTCTTTATAAGGAAAATCATTATAAGAATCACATCTTTGATTATCTCAGACAGAGATAAGAAAAACAGAAGGTTAAAAAAAAAAAACTTACCAAAAGTTTTGCATACTGACTCTCTAATCGGTGCAACTTTTCTGCATAAGTTAGTTTAAGAGGTGCTGTCATTTGAATCTGTAATACGGGATGAAAAGACATGAAGGTTAAGAATCTCAAGGAATTCTGACTCACACTTAATGTATCCATTATTGAGGTATAGGGTCTTTATGTAAAGAGCAAAACAAGGTAAACTAAAATGATATGAAAATTTTAAATTCACATACCTCACTGATTTTAGCTTCTTTAAGGCTAGATTCAAATTCTTCAATAGCTCGGTGAACATTTTTGTGATTTTCTAAATGGCTTTCAACACTTGGCAAATCTGAGCCCCATTCAGTGCGGTCCAGTTGTACCTTTGAACAGCAAAATACTAGGT